ACTTCCAGTTTCCATAAGGCTGTCTCCTGCATTTTCTAAGATTCTTACAGTTTGAGGTTTTATGTTGGTCTTTGATCTATTTAGAGTTGATTTTTGTGTATGGTGATAGGTAGGGGTCCTGTTTCAATCTATTGCTTGTGGTCAGTTTTCCCAGTACCATTTACTGAATAGGTTCTCCTCTCCCCAGTTATTGTTGGTGGAGGCTTTGTCGAAGATGAGTTGGTTGAGAAATTGAGATTTTGCTTCCAGAATCTCTGTCCTGTTCCATTGGTCCATATGCCTATTCTTGTACCAATACCAGGCTGTTTGATTATTTAGCCTTATAGTAAAGTTTAATGTCTGAAAGTGTGATACCTCCTGCTTTGTTTCTTTTTCTGAGGATTGTTTCAGCTTTCATGGTCATTTATGTTTCCATATGAATTTCTGTATCGTCATTTCCAGGTCTGAGAAGAATGATGTTGTTAATGTAATAGGTATTGCATTGAATCTGTAGATTGCCCTGGGTAGGATGAACATCTTGACAATGTTCATTCTTTCTCTCTGTGAGCATAGAATATTTTTCCATTTATTTATGACTTCTTGGATTTCTTTGATCAGAGTTTTGTAGTTTTCATTGTAAAGGTCTTTCTGGTTAGGAAGATACTGAGGTGTTTCATTTTTGGTGGCTATTGTAAATGGGATTGTGCTTTTTATTTGGCTCTCTGCTTACTTGCTGTTGGTGTATATGAATGCACCTGACTTTTGCATATTTATTTTATACCCCGAGACTTTGCCAGACTTCTTTATCAGTGCAAGCAGGTTTTTGACAGATTCTCTTTGGTTTTCTAGGTATAGAATCATGTTGTCTGCAAGGAGGGATAACTTAACTTCCTCTTTTACTATTGGTGTGCCCCTGATTTCCCTCTCTTGTCTAATTGCTTTAGGTAGGACTTCCAACACAATGTTGAACAAGAGGGGTGAGAGTGGGCAGCCTTATCTTGTTCCAGTTTTTAGAGGAAATGTTTCCAGTTTCTCTCTGTTTAGCAACATGCTGACTGTGGGTTTATTGTAGATGGCACTTACTATTTTGAGGTATGTTCCTTCTATACTTTGATATTTGAGGGTTTTTATCAAGAAGGGATGCTGGATTTTATCAAAAGCCTTTTCTGCATCTAACAATATAATCACATGGTTCTTATTTTTAAATATGTTGATGTATTTAATTACGTTTATGGTCTTGTGGCTGTTGAACCAGCCCTGCATCCTGAGAATGAAGCCTACTTGGTCATGTTGGATGGCTTTTGAGATGTGTTGTTATATCCGATTTGCAAGAATCTTGTTGAGAATTTTTGCATCTGTTCATTAGAGATATTGGCCTGTAGTTCTCTTTTTTTGTTGTATCTTTCCTCGGTGTGGGTATCAGTGTGATGTTAGCTTCATGAAATTATTTGGGGAGGATTCCATCTTTCTCAATTGCCTGGTATACTTTCAATAGGATTGGTATCTGCTCCACCTTGTATGTTTTGTAGAAATTCACTGGAAAGCCATCTGGTCCAGGGCTGTTTTTTGTAGGTAGTTTTTCTTATGATGGAGTCAGTTGTCTGTGTTATTATTTGTCTGTTTAACATCTCAGTGTCTTGTTTCAACCTTGGGAGGTTGTGTTATATTAGTAAGTCCTCCATTTCATTTAGGTTATTGAGATTGTTTCCAAACAGCTGTACATAGTAATTTCTGATAATCTTTTGTATTTCTTCAGGATCAGTTGTGATTTGATCTTTTGCATTTCTGATTGTGTTTATTTGGGCTTTTTCTCTCTTTTTCTTGGTCATTTTGGCTAAGGGTCCATCAATTCTGTTAATTCTTTCCAAGAACCATCTTTTTGATTTATTGATTTTTTTCTTTTTCTATAATGTTTTTCGTCTTCTGTGTCCCATATTTTGACTTTTACTTTGGTAATCTGGATTTTCTGCTAAAATTTAGGGTTTAGGTTTTCCAGCTCCCTTAGTGATATGTTAGTGTGTTAACTTGTGATTATTTATTTTCTTGATGTGTGTTCATAGAGATCTCAATTCCCTGGATCACACCATTTAAATTTATAAAATGTTAGTTGAACATCTGGCATACTACTTAATATTCTTCAAGAAAATAAATCGCAGTTGCCCCGGTCTTTTTAACTTTTATAAAAGATAAACCAGGAAATCATTTGGTATATATAGCTTATATCATTAAAGCTTAAGACAATTTTTTACTCTTTGTTTTATATCATCTTTTAGTTGTAAAATTGCCAGGCATGTTATTCAGCTGCTGATTGGTCTTTGAATTTGAATGAGTGTGTGAGAAAGAAGGAAAGAGCATCAAGTGGGTATTTGAGAGCAAGGACATCACTTGGAGGCACCTGCCACTCTTGTCTGCCAGAACAGAAAGGAGAGAAAGCTGAGTGAACAGTCATCCTCCCATCAGTCATTCATGAAAAAACGATAACCTTTGTAAATATATGTGCACCAAATTACAGAGTTTCAAAACACCTGAAGGGGAGAAAATCTCCACTGACATAATTGCAGGCAGTAAATAGACAAATTCACATTGATGTTTGAAGATTTCAGCATTCACCTTTCAGTAATTAAAAGAAGAACTAGACAAAAAAAAAAAAAAAATCAGGGATCCGTATTTGAATAACACTATTTAGTACCTTGATCTGATTGACATTTATGAAACAGAATGTGAAAATGTAAAATACATTTCTTTTCAAGTACACATGGGGTGTTCACCAAGATAGGTCATTTTGTAGGCCATAAAATAAATCTTAGCACATTTCAAAAGATTAAAATCTTAAAGAATGTTTTTTCAAACCACATAAAATTAAATTATAAATTAATAACAAAAGATAATGAGAAAAGCACCATGTATTTGGAAAATAGACAACACTTCTAAGTAGCCAACTCAAAAAGAAATCATAAAATAAATTTTAAAATATTTCATATGGAAAGATAAAAACGTAATGTCAAGAATTCGTGGGATGTCACTAAAGCATTGCTTAGAGAGAGCTTTATTACTTTAAGTGCTTGCACAAAGAAGAAGAACGATTTAAAATTCAGGGATCTAAGCTTCTACCTTAAAAAGCCAGAGAAAATGCAGTCAAACTCAAAGTAAAAAGAAGGAGGTAAATAATAAAGATAAAAGCAAAAATCAGTGAAATAGAACATAGAAAAAATTAACAAAGCTAAAGATTGGTTCTTTGAAGAAAAAAAAAATTACTCCTAGCAAGCCAGATTGAGAGAGAAAGTGAGGACATGAACTGCCATTATCATAAATGGTATAGGATATATCACTATAGATCCTACTGGCATTAGAAAATGATGATAATAAGGGAAAATTATGGATGACTTTACACCAATGAATTTTACTGCTTTAGAGGAAGTTGAAAAATTCCTTGAAAAATACAACTTAACCAAAACTAACACTAGAAATAGAAAAATATGAATTGCCTTGTATTTTTCACAATTAAAAAAAATTGAATTTATTACCAGAAACTTTTCCATGAACAAAGTTTCAGATCCAGATATTGTCATTAATGAATCCTATTAATTACTAAAGAAGGAAACAATATCAATCTTTTACAACTTCTTTCAGAAAATACAGAAGTATATAGAAATATAGAAAATATATAAAAATTTTACGAGTTTTATGAAATTATTAGCCTTATCCTGCTACCAAAACCTAACAAAGCTATCACAAGAAAAAAATTACAGATGAATGTCAGAAACCTAAAAGTTCTTAAAAATATTATCAAACCAAGTCTATCAATATAAATAATATATCATGACCAAGGGGGATTTATTCTAGAAATGTTAGTTTAACATTGGAAAATCAATGTAATTCATCATTCACCAGTGTAATTCTCTGAATAAAGAAGGCAAATTGTATGATCCTCTTCATAACTGCAGGGAAAAAAATGTTTGATACAATTAGGAGTTACTCAGTGATAGAAACTTCTCAGCAAACTAGGATGTAAGGAAACTTCCCCAATCTGATAAAGGATATCTACCAAAAAACTACAACTAACTTCCTACTTAATGGTGAAATACCGACTGCTCCCCTAAGTTTGGAAACAAGGCACAAGGTGTCTGCTCTCACTTCTATTCGACATTGTACCATAATTTCTAGTCACCCCTACTGCCCCCCCCAAAATTCACTGCTATCACCTAGGACTTTGGATTCATGTAGCAGGATAGTGTATTTTGCCACCCAGTTTCCAGGGACAATATTATGCCTGGACTAATGCATAACTTAATTACCCTCTCTCTCTCAGCCTTTTCTGTCTGGCTGTTGGTTTTTCTTTCTGTGCTAAGTAACAGGTAGTTTTTGCAAACACTGGTTTACCATATGGAAAGTTGCTCTGCTTTTATGCTTGACTTTGTAATGCAGATGTTTGATGCACTAAGTAGCGTGTACTCGACTTTTGTGAGTTAAATATCCTGTGTTGCTAAGCTTTTAATTCTTTGTTATAAAATTGTTTCAGTATGCTACTAATTTTTCTGGATAAACTATGGAATGTGATTACATAATTTTGTGACCTTAGTGAATGTGATTATAGTAGCACAGAATAATTTGTATATAATTTGTATCATTTACTGTTTGAACAAAATAGTTTCAGTGCTGATGAAATTGTCTTAGATGTATTCTAATTGAGGTCTTTAGTGTCTCCCTTTGAAACAGTGCCAGAGAGGATTATTATTGTGAAGATATGTAAATATATACAAATTCTAATTTACTAGAGAACAGGAGAATGATTTTTCTTGACCATACTACTTAATTGTCCATCTTCATTGAATAGTAACTTAAGCAATTGTGTTTTAAAGTATCGATACAGTATTCTATAACAAAACGCCTTAAATGACCAAGTGACAGAAAATGTTGGCATGATTTAAGCAGTTGTTTTACCTTTTATGCATTCAGGAACTTGGATTATACTGATGCAGTATTTCTTTGGTGGTGGTGGGGTCTGTTTTTGTTTTTAAAAGGACATTCAAGAAGCAAACTTCAAAACTTCAAGTAGCCGACTCCTTGCAGCTGTTATGTCTGCTCTGTGTCACACTTCTGTTAAGCTGACTTCCATCTTCCCTATTGCGTATGATGGAGAAGTCCTCCTACGATCCATTGTTAAACAAGTTAGCACAGAGAATGACTCAACACTTGTTCATCGTTTCCCCCTTTTGGTGGCACATATGGAAAAACTCAGCCAGGTAGGTCTTCTTCTGAAATCTCTTTTGTAATGAAGCAATAAAACTGTAAATGGAGGTATATTTAGCGTGGTGCTTATTCTTCTATATTGGCAAGTGTATTTACCAAATGACTGCTTAACAAATGAAAAATAATAATCTATTTCATAAGCTATTATGAAATATATTTAAATTTTCAGTGTAAATATAAAATAAGCAGTCTTTTTTCTCTGTTTTGAATAATTAAAAATTGGAGAGTGATATAATGAATAGCTGCATATTTGTTTTTTGCTAAATCACTTGGAAGTAAGTTGTGGATACCATAAGCAGTCCTTTATATGCTGATAATAGTCTTTTAGATTTCTAAGATAGAAAAGGAAATATTGAATTTTTAGAATATCTTCTGAATAACATTTTGGTATGTTAAAATAGCACTGTAAAACAATAGGCGTAGGGAGCATTCTTAATAACTGCCTCTGTTTTATTAGATAGTACTATAGAGAAAAATTAACACATAAAAGCGTATTAATTGCTACAGTTGATGAATAGAAAATAGAAGTTATTCTGATTATGTACATCTAATTATGTTGACCAAAACAACAGAAAATTAATGAAGAAAATTTCAATAACATATAGAAACAAAAAAGGATAATAGCAGAATGGAAGGAAATTTGCAGAGAGTTAATGTAATATATTTGCAAAATCCCAGTAGAAATAATAAAAGTAAATATAAGAGAGGAAGCCAGGAAAATTTCAACCTTACTAGTAATTAAATGTGAATTAAGTAATGCTGAGGAATTAATGTAGTTCTAAAAAATTAGGAAAAATAGTTTTTTTCTTCTAAATTTCTGTGCTGGTGAGTATGAGGAGACATACTAAGCTTATAAACTAGTCATAGCATTATGTACTTAGTCTAAATAATTCTTTCAATCTTTTAGCAAATATTTATTACATACCCACTATTTACTGGGATTTTAATTAGGTGCTGGTTGAGACAGCAGTGCAAAAAATACAGTCCTTGAATTGTGGGTCTATAAGCTAGGAGGTATCTTTAGAAGATAAATTGTCAGTTCACTATTATGCACTATGAGTATGTTCACAAAAAACTGTCTAAGGGAATAATTGAAAGACTAAAGCTGTGCATATTATAGTAAAGAGAAAAATTAGAAACTTTTATCAGAACCCTAAATGTTCATCATTAAGTGAGGTAGCTGAATTTGAGTATATCAACTTGATAGAATATAATTCAACCATTACAAATAAGTAATATTTGCAATAACAGGCAAAAGTTTAAAAAAATTTTTAATTAAAAGTCAGGAACAAAAGTGCATACACACACACACACACACACACACACACACACAATGATGACTATGTAAAATACATATACAGAAGGCTATTGATTAGAAGTGAATAATGAGAAATGAAAATAATGCCTGCATGATAAAGTTATGGGTAATCTGGTGTTTTTCTTTCAGAATTTTCTTTAGTGTTTTTTTAAATAGTAATTAAAAAAAAAATTTAAAAAACATTTTTTGACAACTATTTAATGCTTGTCAATAATTAATAGTTGTGTATTTGTGTGTCTGTATTAATAATGGTTTATGAAAATATGTCCTGACTAGTATATATTTTCTCACTCTCTTTTTAATGGACATTATGACCTTCTACTATTTGTGTAGCATAATATATTTAATCAATTTAGATTATTCACCATATTTCAGTACTTTAAACAATACTGCTGAAAATATCATTGACTAAATTTTCATGCATATCTATGATTAATTTCCCAGTATAAATCTTTAGGGAAGAAAAATTCTTAAGTCAAAGGAAAGTATGATAAGGGTTTGTTACACTACTATTTAGGAAGCTAGTGTTAGCTTGCATTCCCTATCCTAGTGAATAAGAAAGAGTACATGTTTAAAAAATGTTAGTGGCCAGTGGGATAATTTTCTTTATCCTTCAATACAAAAAACGTATTATAATAACTATTAACTTCATATTCAGGTTATATGGGAAGCTTTTTATATTAATCTTGTCAACTAAGGTTATATGGGAAGCTTTTTATATTAATCTAGGAACTAAGCAAACAAAAATAAATAAATATACCCCACTCCCCCACTGCCCCACAAGATTTTTGCTTATGGAGTACAATTGGGGATTGAATGTTTCAGGAAGTAAAGTTCCAGGAGAATGAAAAGATATAAGGAATAAAAGAGCTAGAGTTTTAAGAAAATCAAGAATGATTATTTTAAATATAGAAAAAGTAATTGCATAAGAAATTAACTAAAATTTTATAGTAATTTTATTCAAATGATTATAGAAATTACTTAAAAATGAAAGATAATCTCTAAGTGACTTCTGTGTTTCAGCTTAAAATTGTTCGTTAGGAAAGAAGCAGAGAGGGATTCACAATTCTATTCATGATGGTTTTAATGGAAAAGTTACTTAATTTCCAAATGGATTGAAACTGTATTCATTTACTTATTTGATTTAACTTTAAGGTCCCTCTCCATCTTGAGATTTTATGATTTTATGACATCTGTTGAATTTGCTGTACATTTAGTATCTTGTAAAACAATGTGGAATATAAAAATGGTAGAAGAACTTGCTTTCTTGGTAACAAGGTTTTTTTGATAATTGAATCATAGCAAATAGTTTTCCTGAGTTCACAAATGAAGTTGAAGCACTATTAAAACAGAACTGGAACTAGATCCCATGTTGTTTGAGTTTTTTTTCTTTTTTAGTCCATAGTAAAATGGAAAATCTCATTGGTCACAATTGGCTCCTCATGAGATTAAATTATTTGTTCTCTGTCTACAGTGGATTAGCAGAGAGGATGATAAAGAGGATAAATAATTTTTATGCTGGATATCAGCTACATTAATCATCTTTTTTTCTGAAAATAAAAGTATTTTTCCATTGGTCTTTAATTGGACTCAATTTTCTTTCTTAAAAATTTTCCATCGGGAGAGCTTGGCATTTTCTTATCTTCACTTAGGACATCAAATATGGTAGAAATTGTAAAACTGCATAGGAATAACATGCATATACAGAAATAATTTTGTTAGAAAATTGATTTGCACAGAATACTTGGAGCTGCTTTACCTCTAAATATACTAAAATAATTATCTCAGATTAGAATCTTACCCTATAGAAGAAGCTGTTTAAAAGGAAAGAATAGTTTTCTGTCATTTAGGGTTGTGACTGAAAAGCTAAATAAGTGAATGTGTCAAAATGAATCAAAACTAATAAAAACATAAAACATCTTATAAATGTGCAGTATTCCTATGATAATAATAATTCAAAAAAAGAACTTCTAAGTGAAAAGTATATATATTGACTCAGCATACAACTGTATAAATTTGTAGACATAAACTGATTCAAGTCTGAATTCAAGTCTGATAGGGTATCATTCAAATGACGGGATTTTGCAACTGAGTACTCATGTGAAGGTAGATAAAGGAATACCCTGGAACTTACCTTCTCATGTATCATAGAGTGAAGAGAATATCTCAGGGATGACAAGCTTCCGTGAAGTTCTGGAAAAGATGCTGGTTATCGTTGTGCTACCTGTCAGGAACAGCCTGAGGAGGGAAAATGAACTCTTCTCCTCTCACCTTGTCTCTAACACCTGCGGGCTGCTGGCTAGTATTGTCAGTGAACTCACAGCATCAGCCTTGGGATCTGAGGTAATAAGTTATATTGTTAGGTTGGATAGCAAGCACATTGCCACATAGTTTCCTTTTTCGTATATTTTGGCTTTGTGGACGCTCACTTCAAAATGGGTCAGCAGTTTCACTGCATTTTTTTTCCTTAAAAAAATATTTTCTTCAAACTTTTTTTTTCTCGCCCTCTCCTGAGCATCTTGTCCGCTCTTATTTGCTTCCTCTTCCTCATCAATTTATCCATCATTCACAGTAATTTAAAATATATATTTTCCTCTTTGACTGGGTTCTTATCTGCCTCACTACACAACCTACTGCCTTGGCCCAGTAAAAGCAAAAATAGTACTCATTGCTGGATGATATGTAAGGCAGATGAAATCAAGCTGCTGATGAACATGTGGTGTGGAAGTGGTAAAGAGGTTCTAAACCTTGGCTCTGCCCACTTGATTGACTCTAGACAAATACATATGTAAAATGGAAATAATAATTTTATCTCACCTATATCACAGGTTTTAAAAAACTGTGATAAAATATACATAGTATAAAATTTACATAGTATAAAATGCAATTCTAGTCATTTTTATTTGTACAGTTTGATGGCATTAAGTACATTCACTCTGATGCACTTGTTGTACAGCCATTATTACAACATTTGTAAAGTATCAAATATGTTTGAGAAAATCACTTTAAAACATTTAAAAGTGCCTTTACATTTTGTAAAGTATCATTGTTTTTCTCCATTTCACTATCTTACTCTGATTTGTAACATATCTGAATGTTTAAATTGAATTTGGTGAATATTTCTGGTTTTTTTTCCCCATAAACCCGATAGTAGATTACTTTTAAAAATCGTGTCTTACTGTGAAATATCTTATATCATTCAAATGAATGCTTAATAACCAGCATATATGCAGTGACCCCAGCTGTCAAGTTCTTGTCAAGGAACTTCTTTTCTATATTTTACTTTTATAATCCCTAGTCTTTGCTTTTTTTTTAACTTATAGATTTATTTTAGAACATCTTCTGAATCAACACATCCAGTCTGCACTCACTGCTGATTCCTAGTGACAGTTTAGCCTTTAGAACTTTTGATTGATTTAACAAATTTTAGTGTTTTACCCTAGGTTTCTTACTTTCTAGGTTTCTTGGTTAGCTTTCACTTTGTCCTAAGGGGATCCTTTGTCAGAAAATGTTTAATTTTTTAATAAATTTATTCATTCAATCCACAACATTTAAAAAAAAAATATTAGATCCTGGAGGATGCAAGAAACTCTGTAATGCATAGATTCTCTTCCAAAGTTTGCTAAAGAGTTATCCCATGTGAACTTACCTTTCTCAAGAAAAGGAATGCCAAAAATTATAGGGTGCCTAATATACAACCTTGGGAGTTCCCAGAGGTCCTGGCTTACTTCTTTCTTTCTCAGAGAAGTTTATGATTCTTGCTAGAATCATAAACTTCCATTTTTTTCCTCTATTTAGTCTCTCAAATTTCTACACCAGCTTACTTTAGAAGCAGGTTTTATAAGTAAAAAGAGCAGTTTCAGATCCTTTCTAATGAGTCTCTAGTGTGGCTGTGCATATATATATATATATATATATAAATTTTTTTTTTTTTTTTCAAATATGGAATGCCAAGTTATAAAAAAATCGCTGTATGTATTATTAGTATTTGAACTTAGGATACAATCCATTTTCTTTTAACAAAGTTTTACTTTGAAACTCACAAATAAGAGATAAGATGGTCTGGTTGAAGAAGGGAACCTTGAATCCGCCTCTTCTTTAGAATGTTGGTGAAATTTTGGCATTTCTTTTCAAAGTTAGTGATAATTCATTTATATATTATGACTGACAACATAAGTTTGTAGTTCTGGCATTATAAAATAAGTTAAATGTATCATTTAATGTGACTAAAAGGAGAAAATACTGTCAAGTGACATTGATTTGTGAATTTAGAATAATAAAATCTAGTTTTATTATGGGTTAGTCTCTTAATAGAATGTGCCATATCCACTTATTAAGTATGGCTTATTTTATTGGACTTGTTAGAAACCTTAGGGTAGTTTTGTAAAAGTATATAAAAGACTATTATAATTGCTTTTGTTGTTCACAGGTTGATGGACTTAATTCTCTTCACTCTGTGAAAGCTAGTGCTAACCGATTCACAAAAACAAGCCAAGGAAGAAGTTGGAACACTGGGAATGGGTCCCCTGATGCAATCTGTTTCTCAGTAGACAAACCTGGAATAGTTGTGGTTGGTTTCTCTGTCTATGGAGGAGGAGGAATTCATGAATATGAATTAGAGGTGTTGGTTGACGATGTAAGTATCGCTCTTACAACGTTTTTCCTTCTATGTGGGTTATGTATTGGGACTTAAAGTTGTCATAATATAATGGGTCTAAACCTTGAGCGTTTAGCAGACCAACTATAGGTGGATAACATTAAAGAAATTGAGAGAATGATTTTACCTGATTGCTTGAGTGGCATCTTGGATCACTCCTACTTCATATTTTTTGTACTTTCAAAAAGGCAAGGATTTTAAATGGGATTAGTCTAGAAAGTATTTAGCTATGCCTCTGATTACAGATCTTGAGTAGGTTGCAGTGGTTAAGCAATTTTGTCATAAATTGCTAATGGGTAATTCCTTGTAAAGACTGTATTAATTGATTGATTTAGCTGTTACCTTTCTATGTTCTCTAAATTATTTAAAGTACTTGAGTATTCATAGTTTTATTAAAATGTAAATTTTACTAAAGATAGCATGTAAATCATTCATTTCCTAATAAACAACAGTCTGTCTCTAGATCCTACTTCATTAGGCTTTATAACACTCTTACATATAACACTCTTATTATGAAGAAGGGGAAGTAGCTTAAGTTATCAAAGAGAAAAGCTAACTTATGCTGTAGTCTCCTCAGGAAATCAGATAAAAAGGAATAGAATACCCTCAATTTTTTCTTTAGTATGTGTGAGGAAATACTCATGGTTAATTTTATATACAAGAAAATAAACTTTAAAAATAGTGAGTTATAAATCAAAATTGTTCACATAATAAAATTAAGAGCCTGTTAAATTTTCTTGTTGTTGTTAGAGTGAACATGCAGGAGATTCATCTCATTCCCACAGATGGACATCTCTAGAATTAGTCAAAGGCACATATACAACGGATGATTCACCCAGTGATATAGCTGAAATCAGACTTGACAAAGTTGTTCCTTTAAAGGTAATGTGAACCATATGTTTCTGTTGCAAATAAGAACTATTATCATGTAGTTAAAAATAGTGAAAAATATTCCTTGAGTTTTCTTTGTTAGACATACCTATTTGTAAGTTATCCTTTATGTGGAGTTTCAAATATTTATGCACTGTGTACTATGTACCTGATATTGTGCTGTTCTATATTCTGTTTCTGCATAATATCTTTTAAAGTCTGGAATAGTAGGAAGTATATTACATTTTTGGAGTCAAACAGATCTAGCTTGGGATATCTATCTGCTTTTCTACATACTAGCTTTAAGACACTGGCAAGTCATCACTTAACCACTTTGAGAGTTAGCTGTGAATTGGGAATAATAATACCTACATTGGAGTGTTGTTGACATTAAATTAAATAATGGAAACAAAACACTTGCCTCTGTGTCTAGAACAGTACGGAAAATACATATTAGTCCATGTCTTTGCTTCTCATATTGTGCCAAAATTCATTTAAAAAATAAGTGATCTTTATAGTTACTATTAACTGTTAATGAAGTTATTACTTTAGATAGCTTAATTTTCTAACAATAAGTAAGTATTGGGCAAAATGGAGAAATTTTACCACATTAGTTATTAATGTTAAAGTAAAATTAAAGTATTTTAAAAATAAATTCCATTGTAGAACAGAATTTTGCATAAGGTAGGTTTATCAGAGACTTCATCAAAAAGAATTTAGGTACTGAAAAACCAAAAAACCTTCATTGTGAAGTTTATATTATGGATCACAAAGCCTTAGTAGCTATAGCTTACATTTTCAAAACACAGTGCGTCATGTTTTAGACAACTTTTTCTTGGGCTATTTTTTTCTCATGTCTGTCTGTCTATGTGTTTCTGTCTCGAGTGTTTCTTTAAAAATATATATTATGGGGCCACCATGATTTTTTTCTCGCATTTAAAATTGTTTTAAAAGTTAAACAGATCAATAAAAAATATTTGCTTATATATTTAAAATCTTATTATGGCTATTATTCTTGCATTGTAATGAAGAGCAGGCACCAGTCATACTGCTTGTGGTTCAAACCTGGTCCTGTTAATTAGTAGCTATGTGAGGTTGAGCAAGTTACTTAATCTCTCTGTACCTCAGATTACTCATCTGTAAAACAGGGATAAAAACTATACTTACCTCATAAGGTCATTTCAAGGATTAATTTAATTAAAGTTCTTGAAGTATTTACAACAGTTTCTGTTATGCAGTAGGCATTTACTAAAGGCTAGCTATCATCATGTTTGACCCAATAACAGCATCTGTAAACATGATGGAGAATGTCAGTATATTTGTCCAGTTTACTGTTAGAGTTCCTTTGTACATTATGAATAAATGTAGACATGTTTTGCATTTTTATTGTGAAGGAAAATGTTAAATATGCCGTGCGCTTGAGGAACTATGGAAGCCGTACAGCCAATGGAGATGGAGGAATGACTACAGTTCAGTGTCCTGATGGCGTCACATTTACATTCAGCACCTGTAGCCTGAGTAGTAATGGCACAAACCAAACCAGAGGACAGATTCCTCAGATACTCTACTACAGGTTGGTGTACAGCTAGAGATGAGGGAAATGCTTTACAGTGGTAGAACATAGAGATTTACTACTAGGTAAAATTGCTAACTGGATGACTATAATTAAATTATACACTGTATCTCCTTAGCACACACTTGCACAGTTATGAAAAAGTCTAATTTTAATATACAAATTGAGTGTTACTACAAAGGTGAATGCTTTAAAATATTTTTTTGCCATTATTTCTTTAATATCATGGAAACTTTTGTATGTTGGGCATAGTACTGTTGTTACTTTATAATTTCTGACCTGCAAAAATTTCTAATTTAAATGGAATTTATTGATTTCTTTTTGTAAAATGCCTAAAATTAATATCAGATAGATTCTACTCAGGTAGTGATACCTGTGTTATCTCAGCTTGTCCTCACAGCATCCATAGAGAGTAGGTACTTTTCTTACCCTACTTTAACAGATTCAGAATTAGGTGGTTAAATAACTTGCCCAAAGTCACTCTTCTAGTATATTATGGTGCTGGGACTTGTAGGCAAGAAATCAGACTCTAGACAACACACTTTTAATCACTATGTTGCACATTCTCCTATGTAGTTAGCTAGTAGACATCTTAGGTTTAATGTGTCCAGATTGTTCTTTCATTCATTCACAGGCAAACACCTTAAGAGTCATTCTTGACTTCTCTCTTTCCCTCACACTGTACATCTAGTGCATCAAGTCCTAGCAGCTGTATTTTGAAAATGTTCTTAATCTTACTTTTCCTACCACTTCCATAATTAATCCTCTAGTCCAAGCCACTGTGACCTCTACCTGCCAATTATAATGGGCTCTAAACTAGTCTCCCTTCTTTTGCTCTTGCTCTTCTATAATCCTCTACACGCAGCCAAAGTGATCTGATAAAAATATAAATCATACCAAGTTTTACCTGTCCCCAATCCTAATGGCTTTCTACTCCCATGCCAATATAAAATGTGAAGTGGTTACTGAGGCCTACAAACTTGATTTGACTCCTATTTCCCTTCCTACCCTATCACCTTCATTCTTTCTCCTTTCATTCCAGCCATTCTTGTCTTCATTCTGTTTCTTGAACTTATAATTTGTTCCCTTTGCCCTGGAAGTTTTTCTCATTCTTTGCATAATTCGGCTCTTTGTTAAATATCCGTTCCTTAGAGCGCTGATCTTTACTTCATGCTCTTTGCTGCTTTATTTTTCCTCAAAGCTTTTATCACTTCTTGAAATTATATATTACATATTTACTTTTTAAATTTTACATTAGCTTTGTTTAACTATAAATTCAGTGAGCTCTTATCTAGATATAATTTTAGTGTTAGATCACATTTTTCTTACCATGGTAAAATAAGCTCATGCTTTATTCATGTTACAGGAGTGAATTTGATGGAGATTTACAATCCCAACTTCTGAGTAAAGCCAATGAAGAAGATAAAAACTGTAGCAGAGCTCTCTCTGTGGTGAGCACTGTCGTTCGAGCTGCTAAAGACCTCTTGCACAGAGCTCTCGCTGTGGATGGTAAGTCTCTACTTTTTCTTTCTCAGTGGTCATATTTTGGATTCTTTATTCCCTAACTGTGCACAGAATTATTGACGAGGAACCAACTTTTAGAGTTCTGAAGTGTTTTCTTCATTATAGCTCTACACACTTGTTTATTTTGGATAAGTCATACTCTCCAAACTCTTAATGCAGAATTTTTTAGAATGTTCAAAGCAATTATCTGATATTCTCATTTTCTCTTTAATAAGAGAAAAATTGCATCTTGGTTAAACTTTTTTCTGCATTCTTCTTTTAGTTGTCACAAAGCTTTTTCTTTCTCTCTGTTTCCAGTAATGTATTGCTGTTTGTCCAAAGGTCTGGGTAATCCTAAATGTCTTCCAGATTCTCTTGTCTAAATTCAGTTCTGTAAATTCTTCCTCTGGAAACTCTCCAGTTTGTATTCTCCCCTTGCACTCCTCCCACTGCCATAGTTTAGGCTGCCATGGTGCATGTGCATGTCCTTTTAATGGTTGGATAGTGTCCTAATAATCTCAAAATGCCACCTTTTCCCCATTTCTCATCTACTTATCTAGTCAGCTTCCACAGTGGCCGCAATGTTATCATTAGAAAACATTTTACTGTTGTTCTCATCCCCTTACTGTTATCTATGGCATTCATTCCTCAGCCTAGTTTCACATCAGAATCACCTGAAAAACTTGTTACAAAGAAAGAATATTTCTTTCTGTTTCCAGGAGCTTAGGCTAAGCTAAGAAACTGTATTTTTAAAGTAAGCACCCAGCATATTCTGATGCAACAGCAGATCTGGAAACCTGTATGGGGGGGGGTAATTGGCCTATAATATAATGGTTTTCATAGTCTAGACTCAACTTTTCTTTCCAGCACCATGTTCCTGGATAAATGACTAAAAGTTTTATAAGCAAAATAGAAGGCAGTATAACTTAATAACAGCAAACATTTTTGGCATGCTTTGTATGTGCAGGCATTGGCCTGAGTGTTTCATATATATTAACTTATTTAATTTCTGCAACACCCAAATGAGGGAAATACTGTTATTATCCTGTGTTACAGATTAAATAATTTGCCTAATGTCATTCATAGAGCCATGTTTGCTTCCAGAATAGCACTTTAAAATCATGGCTCCATTACCCTAGTTCTAATCCTGGCCCCATTAGTTATCAGGTACAAACACTTAATACACGTTAAGTATTTTGGGTAAAATACTTACACACTATGTGCCTTGATTTCCCTTCTAAAAAATGGAAATAATAAAAGTATCTTATTGTGGTGATAAGCAGAGAGAGCACATGTACATAAAGCCCTTAGAACAGTACCAGGTCCTTTAAAACCACTCCGTGTGAACTATAATTTTGCTCAAGAGAACAGAACATAGGCTTAATGTGGCGTGTATACAGAACAATGAAATTACCTTCTAACTATGGTTTTAACCCCTCTTTTAGCTGATGACATTCCAGAACTGCTCAGTTCTTCCAGTCTGTTTTCCATGCTGCTTCCCCTTATTATAGCCTACATAGGACCAGTAGCTGCTGCTATTCCCAAGGTGTGTAATTTAATGCTATAACTTGAATTTTTAAAAATCTATTTCTAGGTTTTGTGTCTTTAAAAATACTTTAATCCTTGAGGCATCTGGATTATATATGACAAGAGGAAATAGCCATGTTAAATGGTAGAAACTATTAGTTAAAACTCTGTTGTTAATATTCTTTACTGGATTACTATACTTACATACTGGTTTTACATTTGAAGAATTTGGGAATGAGAAATATATTTTAGAAATATATATGAGGAATGATTAAGTTAACTGAGATTTTAAAAAATTTGTGAGATTGATGCCAGATCGCTCCATCTTAAATAACAATAACAATGTAAAAAGATAGGAGTGTTTTAAAATAGTGAAATAGTCCATGCATGGAAGAAATCATAAACTGTTAATTCTTTGGCATAGTTAAATATTGAGTAAAACCTAATTTACTTCAGGTCAAAAGAAAGCAAAAATATAGACTATGTTATTTTCATATAACATCTAAGACATATAAGAGAAATCTTTTTTTATCTGTAGAGCAGTTCGTTGAACAAAAACCCAGAACGGTTCTCTTTGAACAAAAACTTAGCTAGCAGAAACTCTAGATGGAAATTGTTATTCATGAGGATAAATAACAATTATAATAATTCGTAACTTTAAAACTGCTTTCACATTTATTTTCTTTTTTAATCATTTTTATGTGTATACTAGGTGGCTGTAGAAGTCTTTGGCCTTGTCCAACAATTGCTTCCATCAGTAGCCGTTTTGAATCAAAAGTACGCACCCCCTGCCTTCAACCCTAATCAGTCAACAGATAGCACCACAGGAAACCAGCCTGAACAAGGCCTCTCTGCTTGTACAACTTCTAACCACTATGCTGTCATAGAGAGTGAGCACCCATATAAACCTGCCTGTGTGATGCACTACAAGGTAGGCACTGATTCTTAGTGCGAATTTAACTTTTAAAAAAGTGCTTTGAGGTTCTCTAATGATATCTTAAAGACTACTTTGCCTGTATTCAAAAGTATGACTTCTTTATAATATTTAATATAGGGATTCAGCAGGTGGTTAGGCACTGTTGGACATACAAAAGGGTTTAAGATAGAATTTTCACCTTAAAAAGAGTATAAAGTGTTCTAGGTTTATGAGAGTTGTTCTCAAATCTTTTTACAAATATAGCACATTATATAATGCTAATTTCGTGTATTTTGTATTGGTAGTGGATATAAACATTATGAATTTTAAATCATATATTTGAACTGACACTATTCGTTCCTCACCTTGAGCTCTGAAAATTTGCATACCCAAGGTAGGATTCGAAGTATTCTACTATACGTAATGTAAAAAAAAAAATTACATTTATAAATTAAAACGTTATTATTATAGAGTACTCAAAATCCTTATTCTTTGTTTCTTTAAGTTGTACCATGCATTTATAGGAGGAAAAGGCGTCATCCACTTCACCAATTTAATTATAAATTTATGTTTTGTTTGCTTGGAAAATATTCAACTTTTTATTGTAGAAAATATTAAGTATAAAAACATAAGCAGACTGGTACAGTGCACCCCATTTTTCATCATCCCAAATTCAACAGTTTTCAAATCTTGCCAAACTTTTTTTTTTTACCTGCTTCCTTCCCTCCGATGTTGTTTTAAAGCATTCATAACTCCTTATGTATATTTCCAAAATAAAAGGGCCCTTAAAATAACCATAATATTCTTGCACCAGAAAAACAATTTCTTAATGTTGTCCAATGTCATGCAAATTTTTATAGTTTTTTGAATTCGTATCCAAAGCAGAGCCATACATTGCAATTGGTTAAATCTAAGTCCTCTTTAATCTTAAATCCCTTTAAACCTATGGATCCCCTTTTATCCCTCTTTTTTGTTCCCTTGGATTTTATTTGTTGAAGAAATGAACATATATCTTTGTTGAATGACATCCTCTTCAGCTTACCTACTGGGTCCTTTAGACACACTGCTTATATTCATTCCTGGCTTACTTGCCCTCTAGTGAGATGAGGTGTTCCAGGCGCATCATAAATGTTTTCCTGCCTCAGATTTGGAACCAGTCATTTTTTCAAAGTGCTCTGATTTATTTTATACATATACACACATATATTGATATACACATGTGTATCATTTTTATATATATGTACATTCATGTATGTCCATATATATTTATGTATAGATACATTCATGTGTATATGTAATTTCTTAAAGAAAAAATACCTTATGATTTTATTTTGATACTAATTCAAAATAAGGACCACAGGGACACTTGAATTGCCATTTCCTTACATATAAAATGCTGTTATCAATGATACTGGGAATATTGCAATTAGAAAATCACTTAATTATTCATTTGCTTTGTTTGTGTGAGTGCATGTGTGTGTGTTTTGTCCTTTGGGTATATCTCACCTAAGATGTGTGGTCAAATTACTGTGTTTTAAAGTAAGCTAGAATGATCAATTACTGTTTTATTTTGTTTTTTAATTTTTTTTATTAAGAGTTTTGGGGTACAAGTGAGGATTAACTATATAAGTAGGCTACTTGCAGGTGGAGTTTGAGCTTCCAACTGCCCCTCACTTCCCCTGGTAGTGGACCAGGTACCCTTTGTGTTGTCACATTCCCCCCACAATTCTCCCTCCCTTCCTTCCCTAGCCCTGTGACTGCCAATCCCACCCTTGTGCTAATATGACTAGTGTTCAGGGTCCACTTATGAGTGAGAACATGGGGTATTCAGTTCTTTGTTTCTGTGACAGTTTATTTAGTATCATGGGCTCCAGTTGCAACCAAATTGCTGCACAGTCCATGATTTTGTTATTCTTTGTGGTTACATAATATTCCATCATGTATATATACCACATTTTCTTTTGATGGGCAGCAGGGTTGGTTCCATGTTTTTGCTATTGTGAATAGTGCGGCAGTAAACATGCATATGCATGTGTCTTTTGTGATACAATGATTCATGTTCTTTCTGTATATTCCCAGGAGAGGCTTTTAGGAATCACCGCACTGCTTTCCATAGAAGTTGAACTAGCTTGTACTCTCATCAACAGTGTGGAAATGTTCCCTTTTTTCCATACCTGCACCAGCACCTGTTGTTTTTTGACTTACTAATGGTAGGCATCCTTATCAGAGTTAGGTGGTATCTCATTGTAGTTCTGACTTGCATTTCTCTGACGATTAATGAGGCTGAGTATTTTTTCATGTGTCTGTTGGCTGCTTGTATTTCATCTTTTGATAAGTATCAATTCATGTCCTTTGCCAACTTTTTAATGGGGTTATTTTTTTCCTTTCTCTTCGTTTGAGTTACTTGTAGATCCTCCATGTTAGACCTTTGTCAGATGCATGATTTGCAAATATTTTTTCCCATTCTGTGGGTTGTCTACTTACTTTCTTGATGGTTTCTTTTGCTGTGCAAAAGCTTTTCAGTTTAATAAGGTCCCACTTGACTAACTTAGTTTTTATGGCATTCGCTTTTGGGGACTTGGTCAAGAATTTGCTGCCTACTCCGATGTGCCTAAGGAAGTTTCCTGCGCTTTCTCTTAGGATTCTCACAGATTGAGGTTTTACTTTTGGGTCTTTGATCTCTTTTGAGATGATATTTGTATATGGTAATAAGTAGGGGTTCAGCTTCATTCCTCTTCATGAGGTCAGCCAGTTTTCCCAGCAACATTTGCTAAATATGATCTCCTTTCCCCAGTGATTGTTATTGTTGACTTTGTGGAAGGTGAGTTGGGGTTGAGGGACTGTTTCCTTCCAGAATCTCTGTCCTGTTCCACTGGTCTATGTGCCTTTTCCTGTACCAATACCATACCATCTTGGTTACTGTAAGTTTATAATAAAGTTTAAAGTCGGGAAGGGTGATGCCTTCCAGTTTGCTCGTTTTGCTGAGGATTGTTTTGGCTATTGGTGTTCTTTTCTGTTTCCATGTGAATTTCTGTATTGTCATTTCCAGGTCTGTGAAAAATGATGTTGGTAATTTGATGGGTTCAATTACTCTTTTAAAGTAAGTTGGAATAATCCCTCTCTGTGTGATTATACACTAATTGGATATACATTTTGGGTCATTTGTTTTTGCTTTGTTTTAGATCTTTAGGAATTGCTTTTTAAATTTGGGTTTTGTTTTATAATTTTTAAAATAATTATAGTCTAAAGTCAAATCTATAAAACAAATCTAGCTTTTATTTCTATCTCCTCCATTCTGTTCCCTCCTCTATCATAGGTAATATTTTGTTTTATTTTAGTTTTGTAGTTTATCCTTCTGTTGTGTCATTCAGTAAAAGCACAGGCACACACACATGTATATAGATGCAGGTATGTATGTGTGTTTATTCATGTCCTCTTGCCTGTTGACCTCAGGTGACATTCCCAGAATGTGTCAGGTGGATGACAATCGAATTTGACCCCCAGTGTGGTACTGCACAGTCAGAGGATGTCCTCCGTTTGTTGATTCCTGTCAGAACCATTCAAAATTCAGGATATGGACCAAAATTGACATCTGTTCATGAAAATCTTAATTCATGGATAGAATTAAAGAAGTTTTCGGGATCCTCTGGGTGGCCGACTATGGTTTTAGTGTTGCCAGGTGAGTTTTTGCTCTTCTTTTCTGTTTATATGGTAAAATATGTGCTTTTATGTACATTCAGTAGGGCTATATCACTAAAAATATTTGTCAAAGTTTTAAAGGAACTTATGAAAGACCTCCTGTGTATTCAGATTGCAGTTGAGAAATAAACAAGATGGCCTGGGTAAGGGGCACAGCCTAATCCAAGTTTTGAAGGAGAGACTGTTTTAAGGAATTTGTGAAAAAATATTAGCTTATCAGAGCAGAGTATTAATAATGAGGAATGACTGTCTTTGTGGTTGCAACCAAACTGTAGAAAAATATGGATTCAATCTATATATTCCAGGAAGTGGTAAATTTTGAGAACTTAACTAGGTACTCAAGTCCTTCCTCTCAAGAGAATTCACGAACCCCCTTCTGAGTTGTGTTAAAGTGATCATTTCAGTTTTCCTGAGGGGGTGTGTGTGTGTGTATGTGTGTGTGTGTGTGTGTGTGTGTATGTGAGAGAGAGAGAGAGAGAGAGAGAGAGCGAGCACAAGCGCACTTATATTGCTGGTATTCATGTTTTCCTTAAAAAGAAAGTTACTTAAGTTAGAATTTTAAAATTATGTGTTGTCTGTTGTATTTTTAATCTATTATCCATAACTACTCTTGTGATCCTTCAAACTAAGAGCCAATTTGAGTTCCAAAACCTCTTTCTACTTTAAACTGCCTTTGTTTGTAAAAAGTTTAGAGAAAGCCAAATGCCAGGGTAGAGGATTGCCTACTTTGAAACAGAAAAACCTAACCTAGGTTACCTCAATAATTGACAGATAACCAGATAACTAAAAAACGATTGCCCATGTAACTTAACTAGGGGTTTTGTTTAAGAAGAAGAGTTTGATTATAAAGAAAGTTAACAATTCACTTGATCCTGTTTGTGTTGTTTTTAGCACCATCTGAGCAAATAGAGGATAAACCTTCTTCCCCCCAAATTTAGACTATTTGTACTGATTTGTATTGCTACCTATCTTGAGTTGGACTAAAGAGAGGGAAATATTAAGAAAGTTGTTTGAGATTTTGAACTCATTTCTGGTAATGCTTTTTGTTGTTGTTTGTTTGTTTGTTTAGGAAATGAGGCCCTTTTTTCATTGGAGACGGCGTCAGATTATGTGAAAGATGATAAAGCTTCTTTCTATGGTTTCAAGTGTTTTGCAATTGGATATGAATTTAGCCCTGGACCTGATGAGGTAAGAATGAATATCCTTTTGTTATCTTTTCATTCTATTAAGGAAGAATGTATTTCTAGAGACTACTCTTGACTTAATTTGCATTGTTGCCTTTATTTTAAAAGTCTGAAGTTGATTTTAAGCTAAGAGTATGTGATTCAAAACATTTTATAGTTTGTGTACGGTGGTTTGTTTTTGCTATTTTTAATTCATAAGGAGAATGGAATTTGTAAAACACAGCCCTCTGAAGTAGCCTTTGAAGTATAATTATTACTGCCCTGAATCTGCCCAGGCGGCTGGCTATATATACCTTTCTGAGTAAATAATGTAACCTGATTTCACAAAAGGATTGACATTGTAACATCTTGTCTAAATATTTTAAATCATCCAATGAAATAAAACCAAGATCCAAGCTGACCATCTTTCTTCAAAGTAATGAATGAGAAATTATTTGGTCAACAAACCTGTAAACCTGAACCTTTATAACCAGCCTGAGACATAATCATAATTTTGAATCTCTTTCACTCTCAGTTTAACCATTAGCTTCACATGCTTGCTTTGACTTTCACAACTAATGCTTTAATTTGCATCACATTTTGTTGATAATTCATATTATCTTTTAAACATTGTTAAAGCAGCAACTCTTATGTAATTCTACAGGGAGTCATTCAGTTGGAAAAAGAATTAGCCAATCTTGGTGGGGTTTGTGCTGCAGCTTTGATGAAAAAGGATCTAGCCCTTCCTATTGGTAAGTGTTGTCAAGTACTAGGTGTTTGTTGATAATTATTTTAAATTTTAGAGTAGAATATGTTTATTATAAAAGGTCTGAAATAAATCTGCATAATGAATTCTACAGTCACATATACTTATGAACAATAACTGTTTAATATACTGGTTTTTTAAAATTTATACACACATATGCACACCCTTCTTATGTATATACATGCTATATGCCAGACACTGGGTTAAGCATTGGACATATAGTATTAAACTACAAGTTTGAGTTATTTCTCAAATATCCTAGTGGAAATATAAAGTTGTATATTTATTGTCTAGGTCTCAAGGGGGAAGTTGAAAGAAATGTCATTTGAGCAACAGGCACCCTCATTGTTGTTCTGCCTGTGATGCCCTTCACAATATGTCTTTCCCTTGATAAATCTATCTTTCTTCAAAAATAAAAAAAAAAAGAAGTGTCATTTGAACATAATTTTTATTTAAAGACATGAGACTTTATAAAATATGAGCTAGAAAACACAGATGAGAAAGAGAAGATAGCCTACAGTTAAACTTAGGACTTATCAAAATTTCAAAGATGGACAAAACATGAAGAGGAAGCTGCAGATAAGACTGTGAAGGAGCAGCCAGTGAAGTAGAAAAATAACCAGGAGGGTGGATATTCATGGGATTTTTGCATGATCTAATCAATTAAAATCTATCATTGAATTTGAAAGCGTGTTAGTTTTTAATATGCAATTGGGTATATTTTGAGTACCACATGTTCTCACTCATAAGCGGATCCTGAACAATTATCATAATACTATAAAAAAGGGGGATTGGCAGTAGTAGAAACTGCCAGGGGAGGGAGGGAAGGAGGTGACACCTCTTTAATAAGAGTATCTGATCTCAAACCAGGTGATAGGAACCAAAGTGAGGCCCAAACTTTACCTACACAGTGACCATTTGTATGCCTAACCCTAAATTGTTCCCCACATCTTTAAAATAAAAAAAAGAAGATAAAAGTATATATATATATATGCTTTTATCTTCTTTTTTTAATATATGTGTGTATGTGTGTGTATATATACATATATATGTATATATATATATATTAGTAAAATGAGAGAACTAAAAGTCTCTTCAGAGTGGATTGAAAGAGTATGGAAAGTAAGGAAGGGCAATCAGTGTGAATATAGATAGCTCTTTAGAAGAGTTTTTGTGTGGAGCAAACTGAGATGAGGCAGTGGTAGAAATGGTACTTTTTTATATGAAGCAAATTTGTATAATATATAGATTAACTTATAATCAAGAGAGTAAAGATGAAAATAAAAATGCCTACTAATTCTATAATGTTTATACATGGTTTTAACATTTTATTTTCACAGTATTTGGGACTAAAAGGTATTATTATTGTATTTCTTTAATTCTCACCCCCAGAAATCCATCTATATCCTTCTTTATCTAAGACTCTTTCCCCTAAGACCCTTCCAACTCTATCCTTTCTTCCTCCCTTCCCTTTCTCTGCCCTTTCCTTCTTCTCCATTCCCTTTCTCTTCCTGGTCTCTTTCATTCTCCTCAATTCCCTTTCTCCTACTTAGTATTGGTGTATATGTGAGGAAATGAGACCTTGTATTCTGTTCATATAAGAACAATTAGTAGCAAACTCTGAAAAAAATTTGTCAATAGCCATTCAAATTTTACATATATGTATTTTTGGACATAGAAATTTTATACATACTTGCACAAATGCTCGAAAAAATGTATGTTGAAGGATGAATTAATATAATAGTGCTTGTGATTGTAAAACCTAGAAGCAATCAGAAAGTCTGTCAGTTGGGAATTGGTTAAACAAGTAACAGCGCTAGCCATTCAGTGGGAGTCTATGCAGCTGTTAAAAAAAGCAGACCTATGTGGCCTGACAAAGAAAGATGTCCAAATTATATAAAGTGAGAAAAGCAAGTTGCAGAAGAGGGTCCCATTTTTGCATACATTATCTTATATATGTACAAATATGTGTGTTTATGTGTGTGTGTGTTGGCACACGCATACTTATGTTTTGCACACACAGTTTCTAGAACAGTACATAGGAAACTGTTGACACTGGATATATTTGAGCGGAAGATGATACTGGCTAGAGAGGTAAAATTTTTTGTTTTACACTTCTGTACAGTTGGAATATTTCTGCTTAAACAAGTCTAGTAACATTTCATAATTAAACTATCAAAGAAAAGTCAGTAAGTAAAATGTTCTTTATGCAATAAAGGAAAAAATGGCTAGAGGATACAGTGACTCCCTTATGGTTTCTATGAGTCACTGTTATTTACTAAAGGTATAACTCTTTCATAAGGTAACCAAAATATGAATGCTCAGATTCAGAATAATTGTTTCCCTCCATTTTTGGCAAAGAAATAAATACACTAAAAGTTAAGAAACACATTTATAATTTATAATTATATCTTAGGTAATTATCCAATGGAAGCTTCTTGAATATTGCCTTGAGAATTGTAGATTATATTCCCACTGAAAATATCTTATATATTAAAGTGTTTGTCACTAGGATTTGCCCAGAATGATAAATCTTTTCAATCTGGAATAGCAGAATTGTGAAAAATGTGTAATGAATGTAAGGGACTAGAAAGTTAAACTAAACCTTGACATGTTTTAGTAAAATTTTTCATTTGCACAACAGGTAATGAATTAGAGGAAGATCTTGAAATTCTTGAAGAGGCTGCATTGCAGGTATTGTCTCAAACACTGTGAAAATAAACTTATACATTAATTTAAAAGCAATATTTTCACTCAGATCAACCTTATTTTTTTGAGCATAGGTTTTATTCATTAAGTGCTTCATTCTATTAATAAGTATTATAGAGATAAATAACTCATTGTTCCTCTTGGGGAGAGAGACCCACGTGAGCCCTTGCTATACTGTGTGGTGGGTATTTACTCTGGAGTTAGACAAAAAATCTTCAGCCTGTAATCCCATGCCTTGGGAGGCTAGGGTGAGTGGATTGCCTGAGCCCGCGGGTTTGAGACCCACCTGGGCAACTTGGTGAGACCTCATCTCTACAATAAATCAAAAAATTATCCGGGTGTGGTAGTGTGCACCTGTAGTTCCAGCTACTTGGAAGGCTGAGGCGGAAGGATCGCCGGAGCCCAGCAGGTCGAGGCTGTGGTGGCCGGGAGCAGCCACTGCCCTCCAGTCTGGGCGATGGAGTGAGACTCCAACAAAAAAAAAAAAAAAAAAAAAGAATTCTTATGGAAGAAAGAAGAACAAACCAAGTGCTAAGGGTATAGGGGAAGACTTTGCAGAGCTGTGGGCAAAAATTGCATCTTGAAACAAGTGTTATTTGTCAGAAAAAGAAGAAAAGCATTTCACAAAGGAAACTTGAGGTGTATGGTTGTATTATAAATTTGAGATAGGAAGTAGAAAAAGGTGAGACAGGTATAGTTGATGGGTTTAAATTGTGACAGCTGGGTGTCATATTAAGTGACAGCTAATATGGACCAGTTACTTATAGCCAATTGGGAGCTATCTGTGCTGTTTGCTTTATTTATTTAGTTTGTTTAAACACTAATTAACTAGCATATTTTGCACTGTATTGGCAATACATGAATACTATATTTCATTAGTGTGTCTTTTGAATCTATTATGTCACTGTGTAATATTTTATTACTCAAAATTGCTAAGAGACTATTATATTATTTTCTTACTTCATTAGCCTGAATTTGTCCAGGTAGTAATTTCAAATAGGATGGAGACATCAGTATCTGTAGGCAGTGTTTTTAATTTATAATACCTCCCTAGGCCAGAGTAGAGATTCTAATTTACTGCTGATTGAGGAACAATGCAGACTGTATTCCTAGACCATCAAAAATTGGGAATATTTTACATATTGAAATGGTGTGAAGATAAAAGAAAAGTTGAGAGTCACTCAACTAGATCAGTGGTATCTGGACTGTAGAATTTTATGGTTTTTGTAAAATGTTCAGAAATATTTTTCAGAACTAGGGTTGATAATTTTTTTTGTTAGATGAATATACTCTTTACAAATGTACAATTTGGACCAGGTGCACTGGCTCATGACTGCAGTCCCTGTACTTTGGGAGACTGAGACAGGAGGATGGCTAGAGACTGGGAGTTTGAGACTATCCTAGGCAACATATCAAGATCTTGTCTCTACAAAAAATTAGAAAATAAAATAGCTAAGTGCGGTGGTGTGTGCCTGTAGTCCCAGCTGTTTGGGAGGCTGAAGCAGAGGATTACTTGAGCTCAGATGCAGTAAACCAGGATTGTGCCACTGCCCTAGCCTGGGTGACATAACAAGACCCTGTCTCTAAAAAATAAAACTAACAGTTTATTATCAGCACTGTCTTATAAAGTAAAGGAAATTTTTCGATTCCAAAAATGGAAAGATTATATTCTCATAATTGGAAAACTCTATTGTAGCCTTAGTTTTTCTAATTTCACTGTGAACCAGAGAACATTGAGCTTAGTTTTACTAATTTCACCACGAACAAGAGAGAACATTGAGAACATTTGGGGAGTTCTGTTCTAGAGCATACTTACTTTTTGTGCTAAGTGTATGTAGTTGTATGTAGTTAATAGTAGTGATTTAAATATCCGTAGAGAACTGCATAGTTTATAGTAACTTTAATATTCTTTCTATTTTTATAAATAAACTTTGAGGTCATTGTGTGTTGCATTTTATAATTATAGCTATACTTCAGAGCAATCATGTGACTTATCTAAGAACTGAGGTTTTGGGTGATAAAGACTAGTACCTAGGTCTTTTAATTGCTAAGGCTAATGCTTTGCATTTTACTTATTTCCTGAGATGAATTGATCAAATCAATAATAATAAAAACATATATTCCATCTTAACTTTATCAAGCACTATTCTAAACATTTTACATATTTTTAACTCATCACAACAACCCTATGAATTAGGTGAGAAAACTAAGGCATAGACAATTTAGATAACTTGCCCATGATCACATAGCTGGTAATCAACTGGGCTAGAATTTGATCTCTTGCAGTTGGATGACAAAATTTCATGAGTCTGACCACTGTCTTCTAAGCATAGGGAGCCATAGTGTTATCAATAATGTTAAACTTTTGGGCTATAAAAAGCCACTAGCATTTGTGTGTGTGTATGTGTATTTTTTAAGTTAAATCTTTATACCTTAAGATTCAAAAATAAAAATGCAGTTTTGATAAACACTTTATATGTGTCAGGCAGCATTCTAGTTAAGTAGAGCCATTGAAGAGCTCATATATTGCTTATCATTTCTGGAATTATTATGGTTTATAAAGTATCATTTAGGTCAGATATGGAGACATCTTTATTATTCAGTACTACTATTTAAGCAAAAAACAAATCACGTCCCAAATGGCCTATCTTTTTGGGACATAAGGTAGTTATTGTGTTGTCTAACATGTATTAAATGCATACTATTTGTTAGGCAGTGTAGTGTGTTTTTACATGTTATTTAACTTAAATTCTATAATAATCATGTAAGAGAGTTACTATTTGACCATCAGTTTATACATTTTACAGATTTGGAGATGGTAACTTGTTCATTTGAGAGCACACGGCAAATAATTTGACCAAGGCCAGGATTTGAACTTAAGTCTGTTTGATTGTAAAGATCATGATTTTTAATATTGTATAGTTATAGAATGTAAAAGTTACTGTTATACAAATTTGATAGTATTAGAAATATAATAATTTTCTATGAAAAAAAATTTTTTGAAGTTTATCTTATAGTCATTAAAATATTTCTAATGTTCTAGCACTTAAAGTAACTTTTTCCAAAAACAAAATTTTCTTATCAGAAAGAAAGGTGAATACTAAAATTTCAGTTTTATCTGTCTTTTTCTTAATGTTAATAAGACTTAGAAGACTAATGAGGTTTATGTGCTACCACAATCAAGCTTCGCCCATTTTTTTGCCTAAGAGATCACCCACTTGCCCAAGACAGCAGACACGACTTACCTAGGATAGTGTCCTGGAAGGAGGACTATAAAAGAGGGAGACACCCACAGCTGCTCACAGAAGGAAGCTCTGTCTCCAGCAACTGGTGTGGGAGAAGATATACCTTTCTATTCACCATGCAGATCTCTGATAAGTTACTTATTATTGAGGCGGGAAAAAGACTGGAAACATTATCTCATATTTTCACTCTGATAAATTTCATACTTCATGGGTTATAATAAGTAACACTGGAGAATGGAGGAAAATTATTTCTACAAAAAGGCCTGTCTAAACCTGTCTGCACATTGAAGAATTTTATGCAAAGTTTTATATTTTTAAATATATAATTTTTTTATACTTAACAGGTGTGCAAAACCCATTCTGGTATTCTTGGAAAGGGTTTAGCTCTTTCTCATTCACCAACTATATTAGAGGCACTTGAAGGAAACTTACCACTCCAGATCCAAAGCAATGAACAATCCTTTCTGGATGATTTTATTGCTTGTGTTCCAGGATCAAGTGGCGGAAGGCTTGCAAGGTAATTCATTTTAAGTACTACAGTTACTTTAGGGCTTTTGTCTGTCTTCATTTCTAAAGAGAAATTAGAGTTATTAAGATATTAAAATGTTACCTAGGAATAGCTGGTTTATGTGTTTTTAACTTGCTGAAGTATAAAATAGTAGTAAGCATTTTAGAATATAGGATAATTATTAATTGGTTGGCTATTTGCTTTTTCTTTAGAATGAAAAGGGAAAAAAAATATGCTGGCCTGTGGTATTTCACTAGTAAAAAAAATAAAAATCTAACATTTTTCTGGTTTTAATTTTAACAATTACAGATATTACTCTAGTTTTTAAAAACCAGTGATAATTGGAGGGGAATAACAAATCTTTTAAGACAGCCTCACTGCTGCTTTTGCAGACATTTCAATTTAATGCTTGACAGAATTGCTTATTACTCATCTGACAGGACAATTTGATATTGATCACAGAATAACTTTAGGAATAGATAATCACAAACCATAGAACACAGGCAAATTATACTTGGAAAGATAGTAATGAGGAAGACACTGAGAAATTGTGTGAAGAAAAGATAGGTAGTACACCTTGAACCTAGCTGCTTTTGGGCAAGCAGGATGCCCTTTCTGTCCCTGCTTTTACAGAGAAACTGCTGTTTCCCAGGCTTTCAGGCCAATGAATTAAGGCAGACCTAAGAATGCGTGTGTCCGGGACATTAAATTATATACAACCTAAATTCATTTTCTTGGTTATTTTAAATTAGCCATAGTTAAAATTTCAAGTTTACTGATTTCATAATTATTTTTATATTATAGGTAAACATCAGAAATGTTATATATGTTGGCATGTTTTTTAATGAATTTGTTATTAACAGTTTTCAAGGGAGACACTTGGTTATCACTGAATTGGAAATGAAGATACTGTTTTAGAATTTGATAAAAGTTTTGTAGTTTTGCTTAATTTCATGTTAATCATTGAATTGCTGATGAATTTTGGAGTTTTTTCGTTGCTATTAGGTGGCTGCAGCCAGATTCCTATGCTGATCCTCAGAAAACATCTTTGATCCTGAATAAGGATGATATTCGTTGTGGTTGGCCTACTACCATAACGGTCCAAACGAAAGACCAGTATGGGGATGTGGTACATGTTCCCAATATGAAGGTACTTATAGCTGAATTAAATTAGATGTCATCTGTACATTGACTACTGTAACTGATAAAATTTTAGAAATGGCAAGATTTTTGTTTGTTTTTTTATTTTGAGTTGTAGTCTCACTCCTTCACTCAGGCTGGAGTGCGGTGGCGTGCACACTCACAGCCACGCCAGCATGGACCTGCTGGGCTCCAGCGATTCTTCCACCTCAGCCTTCCTAGTAGCCAGAACTTCAGGTGCATGCTACCCCACCTGGCTATTTTTTATTTTATTTGTAGAGACAAGGTCTTGCCAAGTTGCCCCGGCTGGTCTCGAACCTGCTGGCCTAGGCAGTTCACTCGCCTCGACCTCTCAAAGTGCTGGAATTACAGGCTGTGCCACCAAGCCCCCAAATGGCAAGCTCTCTACTTGTTCTATCCTTTTTATCTATTTATGTTGGAGGACACTGAAAATTGTTTAAATGACTTGTTAGTCCCACATTTCCAAGTTATATGTGTTTTTTGTTTGTTTTTTACATTTTGCTACACGCTGTGATGATTCGAAGGAAAAATAAGAAATAGTCCATATAAAGAGTACTAGGCACATAGAAGGAAGGCCCTCGATACCTAATAATAGAGTACATGCATGAAAGAATATATTTAAAATTTTGTATATGTTTTTTAAAAGACTCAAGAACATTCTGTGTTTGATATTATTGAAACCATATTTTCAAACTTGTATTGATACTTATTAAATAAGTTAGAAACATGGGAGTTTAGATTGTAAAAAAATGAGGAATGGAAATAGTTGTGTACTATATTGATGCGTATAGAGTTCTCTGACTGCCTCTTACCTGAGACATTAATTAATAGTGGTGTTTTAGAGCATATTGTATTACATATAATTAAGTCCTTTGTGATATCTGTTAAGGTAAATATCTAACTTAAAACTTTTATTTCTGAAAAAAGATTGATATTGAATGAAAATGTGTATAGGCAGTCCTTAGCCCTCTCTCCCTTCATAGTTATATTACAGAATGATTTGGTTGTTTGAAGTTGAGAGTTGATTATGCTACAAAATCCTTTTTGCTCACAGAGTAGCTAATTTTACCTCAATATTACTTTCAGTAGAATTATTTCAATGACTTCATGCATTTTTAAAATTTATAGCATGAAGAAGCACAATGCCAGTATAACTTCATACCTGATTCAGTAAAAAGAGCACATTGCTCACGTGACTTAAGGCCAGTAAATAATTCTGTATGAAAAAGTATTTGACCTTGATACTAAGTAAAAATCAGTCTTTAGCAGCGTCTTTCACATTTTTGACATGATTTGTATAATGACCCAAACATACAAATATGGTATATGATGGAAGAATATTTACATACAGTATCCTTAAACACATATATACACACACACAATATGCTATACTCTCATATTTTCTCATCTATTTTATTTTTTAAGGCAAGTCATTACACAAATTGATTTCATGCCCACTCTGAATTATCCTATGAAATGTAAAAAGTATCACAAATTAATAGGAAAAAAACTAAATAGAGAATAAAGTAATCCTGATAGTGATGGAAAAACAAAAAGACTACCCAAGGACTGAATTTTCATCACTGTGCAATACACATTAAGATATTGAAGGGTTTGTGTATTCACTGATGAATTTCTTACTTAAGTGTATGGAGTGAGTTGTCAAATTCATTCTTTAAACCAACAAGATTAAATTCTTATTCATATGACAACATTGTAAACTATTTTCCAGGTTAGCTTAACATTGACATTTTTTAATGTTAATACTATTATGGTTATAGCATTTCTAAAGAAGTTTTCTTATGTTTTCTCCTTTGCACCATTTGTTGTCTCTATTTTGGTGTCTGGGTTGTAAAGCCAGATTTGCTGCTTTATCTTTCTTTGTTTTCCTATTTGGGTTCCTTTTTTAACCACACAATGGATCTTTCTTTACTTTCTTACTCTCCTCTCCTTTTTACCTCTCTCTCCCCTTCTTTTTCCTACTTTGTATCCTTCTTTGCCTGAAACTCAGTACTCAAAATCCATATCAGATTTATCTTTATTTTAGAAATTTATCTAGAAAACTCCTCTAAATACTGTTTAGAAGTGATTTATAGCTTTGATTATGTTTAAGGTATTAATATCATCATATTAGGTGGAAACAAAATGAATTTAACCTATTTTACTTTCATTCTGATAGCATGTGAGGTCTTGGGGAGCATACTAGACTGCTCAAAAATTGTTAAAATCTTTGTGTATTAATAGCTAATGATTTGAAACACAAAAGTTGGTAGTGAGTTCCAAAATGCTTTTTAATTTAGCAAGTGTTATTGTTCTAATTTTTTACTTATAAAATGATTATTTCAAGGAAATTTAATGACTAGAGAAAATCACATGGAAAATAAAAGAATAATAAAAAATTTTTTGAAAGCAGCACAGTTTAATATAAGACTGCAGAATGTTTATTATTCCTTAATGTCTCAGTATTTTAAAGCATAAAATTTATGGTCCATAGACAAGTATACCTCTACTGCTAATTTACTTAGGGTAAATATAGTTGTTTAGAGAAAGCTTATGTTAAACTACTTTTTATAAAAAAAATAGTGTCTATAACAAAATTATGAACTTCGCAGCAACTTGGATGGACTTAGAGGCAATAATACTTAGTGATCTATCACAGAAACAAAGAACCAAGTATCACATGTTCTCAGTCATAAGCGGACCTTGAACAACTATCCTAATACTATAAGAAAGGGGTTGGCAGTAGTGGGAAACTGCCGGATTGAGTGGTGGGGAGGGTCGTTGGGCCTGGTGGGCACACCTCATCAACAAGGGTGCCTGCATAATGAACATTTGTATACCTAGCCCTGAATTGTATCCCATATATTTAAAATTAAAAAATAGTGTTGGCTGGGCACAGTGACTCCAGCCTGTAATCCCAGAATTTTGCAAGGCTGAGGATCGAGAGGATTGCCTGAGCCCACGGGTTCGGGACCAACCCGAGCAATTTGGTGAGACCTCATCTCCACAAAAAATCAAAAAATTAGCTGGGTGTTGTAGCACACACCTGTAATTCTGACTGCTTGGAAGACTGAGGCAGAAGGATCGCCCGAGCCCAGCAAATCAGCGCTGGAGTTGCCGTGAGCGTGCCACTGTACTACAGCCTGGGCAATGGAGTGAGAGACTCCAACTCAAAAATAAAAAAATAGTGTCAATAATTTAAAATCACATGTCTTAAAATTGGAAAGCATTTGCTTTTAAAAATTACATTTAAATTTTAAAGCTTTTAATGATGGTGGATGTATATGAGCTGAAGAATTTTACCATATACATTTAAATGACTTTTCAAGTATAATAATAGGTTTTGAATATTTCTATGGCATATGTCAGTTCAAATACTGATCTCTGGTTACCTCAGCTGACAATAACTTACTGGAACATATTTGTCAGCTGCACTTTACGTAGATAGTGAAAGTCTCAAACTACTGATTCCATTGAATGGCATTATTTGTAAGAACAATAACAACTGAAATTAATTGAAGAACGATAAACATTAAAGACATTCTGCGGTTCTGAGATCTCTTAATAAAATAATGCTATTATCTTCATTTATGCTGCTGTTTCTGGGACATTCCTATTGTTGAGTTACCTGTTCTTGACAACCACAAAAGTAGTATCTATAAGGAACAGCAGAGGCTTTAAGTGAAGTTCAGAATGATGATACCTGATGAAAAGCTAAAGTGTCATTCAAATTGTAAATTTGTAGTTGCCTAGGAGTCAGAGTTTTCTTTCTGCCAATGCATTATCAAACAAGCAACAACAGAACAAGTATTTTGTTATAATTCCTGGAAAATATTTCTTAAACTTTTGGACAATTTATATTTTCAATATTGAACATGCCTTAACAAATCTGTTATTTGCATCTATACACTAGAGTAAGTAGATGAAAGATATTTTATTGTTGAAGAAATTGAGTTGGAAAGTTTAATTAGACTGCTTAAATCAAATGACTTATATTGGTGACAGAGCTGTCTAGTAATGTTCTTTTTTCAGCAGTGTAAAGAAACATCTTTAAATTATAGGTCTAAATTTGTTTTATAATGTGTTAATTTTTAAAACTTACATCAATGGAGTGCATTTTCTTCTGCAGAACAGTGCAGCTGAAATTGAGATTAGTGCTTTAAAATATGCCGAGATTGTGGGAAAGTATTAATACTCAAATTACCTGCTAAAATAATTTAATGGGAGTCCTTGCAAGAATTCAATGAGGATTTATTCTATTATCCTTTCCTGTGATTTTTTAATGGTGGCATTTCTTTATGTTTTATGTTTTGATACCTCTGGTTATTTTTACCCATAAATGAGCCCTCTGTTTTATACTGTGATAAGGCTCCATTAAATAAGCCTTTGAAGGGAATGCTGAGAATAGACCAATGCTAACATAAAGTTTATATAATTGTGAGTTTATAATTGTAAGGTGTTTCTTATCATCAAGGACAATTATGTAATAATAGTATTTGGTTTTTATAACAACATTGTTAGGTGGAAGTGAAAGCTGTCCCTGTTTCTCAGAAAAAAACATCTTTACAACAAGATCAAGTAAAGAAATCTCAAAGGATTCCTGGCAGTCCTGCAGTAACAGCTACATCTGCTAATACTGACATGACTTTTGGTGGGCTGGCATCACCAAAGCTGGATGTTTCATATGAACCAATGATAGTGAAAGAGGCTCGATATATTGCCATAACAATGATGAAGGTAATTTATTTTACTTATCGGAGAATTTTAGTTTTCAACATTTATTCATTTTAAAAAATTTCAGTGATTTCAATGCAGACACAAAATTACAGATCTAAACAGCTGTTGGTAGATGTTAAACTTGCAGTAACACTTATAAGATAATGCTAGCTTCCTTCAGAGAAGATTTTCATTGGTTTTTGGCAGCTGACTAGAGAAGATTGCCAATTATAAGTTGGTTAATCCGGTCAGATTGCGGTGGTTTAGGCTGGGTTTCATTTCCTGCAAAAATATTTGTCTATTTGCAATTTACTGTTACTGCTAAGGTGTAGCTCTTTAGGGTTTACCCAGGCTACCTTCAATTTGGGGGTTCTCCCAAAGGCTAGGTGCATCTCTTTAGGTTTCCTATCCCTTTTTTGTTTTTGAGGTGGAGTCTCACTCTGTAACCCAGGCTGGAGTGCAATGGCAATCCACAGCCACCCCTGTGTCAACCTGCTGGGCTCCGGGGAACTGCAGGTGCATGCTACCACATCCAGCTAATTTTTTATTTATTTTAGAAACAAGGTCTTGCCAAGTTTCCTGGGCTTGTCTTGAACCCATGTGCTCAGGCAGTCCACTTGCCTTGGCCTCCCAAAGTGCTGGGATTACAGACTGAGACACCGAGCCCAGCCAGTTTCCTACTTCTTTGTGCTTTTTAACTCTCCAATTTATTTAATCAGATTTAAATAATATTTGACTTAAAGATATTTAAGTTATCTTTAGAGGCAGTGTTAGTCTTAATTATCAAAGTGGTCATTACTTGAAGCTGAAGTTGATAATTGTGGCATTTTCAGAGAGCACTGATAAGCAATTGAAGGCTTTTGGGCAGAATGTCATGATTAGATTTGTATTTCATAAAGATCTTGGTGGAATATGGAGAAATGTAGTTGGACAGATGATTAAGAAATATAGCTTGCATTCAGTTTTTTTTTGGAAATTAATGACTTAATCTTGTTGAGCTATGTTGATCACTTGGACTATTGCGTCGTCAATCATAATAGATTTAAGTGATATTTAAGATGTAGAATCAATAGGAGTTGGTGGCTAGGGGATGGGATAAAGAGATAAAAGATAGGAAATAAAAGATGAAGTTTCCATTTTGAGCCTGAGTAGTCAGATTGATCATGAGGAGGAGCAAGTTTTGGTTGAGAAGGTCAATAGATTCCATTTTGAATGAGATGAGTTTTATCTAAAATGCTGAAATATCCATGTGAAGATGTATAAAAGGAAGTTAGATGTACAGACCCGAGTGATCTCAGCCTGACCCCAAGGAAAGGATTTGGGAATCATTAACACTTAGATTACTTATGAGGTCATGGGAATAGATGATATCTTCTGTGCAAATGAAGAGAGAAGTTCCAGGACAGGATCCTTAGAAACACCAGTGTCAGTGATTCTCAGATTTCTGTTTACTTCAGAATTGTCTGGAGCACTTAATTAAATAAGAAGATTTTTCAACCATCCAAAGATTTAGATTTATTGGGGTTGGAGAGAAATTCAGGAATTTGCTTTTAAAATAAACAAGCAAGGTGATTCAGATTCAAAGTCTATACTTTGAGATACATTGATTTACAAGAGCAGTAAAAGGAAATGGGGGCAAAAACCCATATTGGTAAGAATACTAGCTAAAGAGATGAGACATAGATAAGAAAATAGCTGAAGTAAGTGTTAGTAAGTTGATCCAGGCCTTTGGCTATAGAAAGAACTGGAGGAGGTGGAGGTGAGTGAAAGCTTTGGAGTTTAGAGTCTACATAGAAAAACATGTTTGAATACCGACTAGAAGACAACTATGAGAAAGGAACCACTAAAGATGCTCTAAGAGATAAAAATGGCATCTAGGACTTAGGTCATCGGATTGGCCTAAAATAGGAGTAGTGCTTGTTTCATTCTGCTAGGAGAGGGAAAAGAAAGTTTAACTCAGATGCTAATAAATTTTTAGGTTTTGCAGCCAAAGGAATTATTTAAAATAGTAATTATGTATTTTATGGAAGTGATAGATCTTAGGGTCAAGATTTTGCAACAAAGGGGGAAAATGGAATAGTTACTGTAGAGGTGGAAAAAAAGAGCTGATCAGAAATTAGTTGAAATTGAAGATCATATGTCAATAGCTGTATGAGTCATATGAACATGAATTTTAAAAATAATCATTTGGGTTGATCTAGCATTGAAATTTTCCCAGGTAATTCAAAAAAACAATGAAACAAGGGAGATGAGCATGTGGTCGTTAAAGAGAGGACACTGGAGCCTCAGTTGGTTTGGAAAGAAAGAGGATTCAGAGAGAGAAAGTCAAGGAGGTAAGAGGAACTTAGAAGTCAGGATAGGTAAAGTAGGAGTTATTAAGGTAGAAAACAGGCCATTGTATTTTGATTTTGGAGATGGAACAGTTCTAAGCAATGTCACAGTTATCTGACTTATAGTGTGAGTGGCTGAAATAAAGTTGAAATTAAAGTTATTTGGGTAAAAAATAAGGGAACTGACAAGTTAGAGTTTTAGATGAATTGTCCACTGGCTATTAAAGAATTCAAAGCTAAACATTCTTCTTCATTTCAACATACATTTAAGGAGCTTAATTTCTGGTCTCCTTACTTCCCTAATCATTCTTTTAGTTTCATATGAAAATACTTCAATTTGTATAATTTTTTAAAAATCTAGTTACCACAACTGAATGTAGTATTTCAAGAATGTTCTTAGTGACCCGGGCTTAGAACAGGTGTACAAAGCTATTCCCAAACTGTCTCTTTGAGGTGTTAATTCATGCTCCAGGAAAGCAGATATTCTTTTATCAACCATTCATAGATATTATGTGCCTGCCCAGGAGTGAGCCAACTATTGTGGAGAATGGAAAAGTGAAATATGGTCACTTCTTTTGTTATTCAGTGTGATAATATGTAATTGAGGGAAAGTGATGGAGTGGAAAATACATTGTACTGGGAGTCTAGAAACTTGGGGTATTCCTGCTTTTAATACTTTGCATGGCTAAGGAACTGAACTTGCATTTTTCTCATGTGTAACTTATGAGTAGGTAAAGGTAGTTAGATCATTTCTGAATCACCTTGATGTAAACAGAAAGGATGGAGAGAAAGAAAGTGCTTGTGAATGTGCTTCTCTTTACTATAAAAATAGGAAAAGTTGCAAGCGGATGAACAGTTGGAGATCTTGACCTGAACTGTGAAAAATAATGCTTAACTTGGTAATGTTATAGTGAAATGAAAGTATTGGGAAGAATGTACCAAGTTTCATGTACCTACAGCCCATTTTTGTCTTTATTGTTTACCGTAATTGTTTCAGATCTTTTTGGTTTTTTTTATTTAAAAAAACAGATTGTTGCAGGTACAGTTGAAGACTGTAATCCCTTCCCAGACCCATGCCCACCTTTCCTTAGAGGTATCCACTATCCTGAGTGTAATGGTTCTCAGCCCCAAATATATTTTCATACTTCTATTGAATACAGACTTATCCATAAACAAGATATTTAGAATTGTTCAGTATAGTTTCCAAAAGTTTGTATTATGCATATTATTTTCTCAGTTTTTTTGCTCAACATTGTTTTAGAAGTTTAGCCATGTACCTTGTTAGTTCATTCATATTAACTGGCTTAAAGTATTCCTTTGGGTTACTGTTCCATAATCTGTCCATTCTCCCATTAATGAACTTTAAACAAATAACTGTATTGAAATAAACATCCTTGTATTTGTCTCCTTTTGCACATGAACTAGTTTCTCTGAGATATTTTCCTAGAAGTGGAGATGCTAGACTGTAAGGCGTGTACATCTTCACCTACATTAAATACTGCCAAAGTGTACCCTCCCATGAGTAATATATGAAAGTACCAGTTGCTACACTTGATTCTTACCAACAGTTTAATAACTATGATATGATTTATTTTGTTGTTTTAATTTGCATTACTTGATGCCCAGTTTAATTGAATAACTCTTCTAGTGTTTGACCTTTCAGATTTCTTCTTCATTGAATCTTCTTTATTCTCATTTTTTTTGTGTGTGTTGTTTCTCTCTATTGTATGGATTAGTTCTTTCCTTATACAATAAGGATGCATACTCCCTTGGGGTTATATGAGTTACAAATCTCCTACCGGGTAGAGGCTATCTTTATAGTTTCTTTGTTTTAGATAAATTTAAAATGTTAATATATTTAGAAGGTGTTATATTATTTTTTTCCTTCTACTCTTTTTTAAAGTTTTGTTTCTTTACTTTTGGGATCTTTAATACACCTAGAATTTACTTTTTGTAAACGGTCTGATATAGGTAATTGAGTTTTTATTTTTCTCCTACCTGGATAACCAGCTATCTGAGCACTGTTTATTGAATATTTTATTGTTCATTAATTGAGAATGTTTGTAATGATTTTAAGTTGTTTCTGGTCTCTGTCTTAAAGGTTTATGAAAATTATTCATTTGAAGAACTGCGTTTTGCATCACCAACTCCTAAGAGGTAAGAATCATTTTCTCAAAGCACGGCCAAAACGTGGTATCAACTGCTTGCAACTGTAATCATGCTGCATTATGACTTTATTTTCAATAAATAAATATTTTATATATTTTTAAAATTTCCAGTAGAGACTTCTTACATATAATAATGTATAGATTTGCAGGTAGCACGTATTTATAGTCAACTGTAATAATGCCAGTATGTTACAGTATACTAAGGTACTAGAGAAAGAATGCTTAGTATCTAAAAATGTATAAATTGGCTTTTTTAGGGTTAATTAGCTTGGGTTTTGATTTTTTTGTTGGTATTAAAAAATTTTTTTTTCTCTCCTTAGTGAGTTGTGGAGAGATTTCACTGTGAGTTGTGGAGAGATTTCACTGTGTGGTGTGCTTTTATTTGATTATAATGTCTTAATTTTTCAGCCCATGAGTAATCTGTTAACTCCAGATTTAAGCAGTTTTTTTGGTTAGCGTTTTATTTGTTAGGAGAAATACTTTTTAAAACATACAGTTGAAAAAAATAATTAGTTGCATTATGCTTTAGATAGATTACCGCTATAGAATTTAGAAAAAAACCTAAAGTGAATCTGAGAAAACAGAATCATTTGTAAACTTCGTCGTATCACGTCATATGACTTAATTAGAAATTAACAGATTACTTTGACTTTATCCTGACATATATGCAAAGTAGAGTTGTGACGTACTATCTAGAAAGTTTTCTATCAACATAGCAAAGTTTTGAGAATGTGTCTTTGGGAATAGGAAAGTAGCATTTTGTCTGTGGCTTAATTATATTTTTAAAATTTATACCTCATCACAAATTTTTATAAAATAGTTATGAACAATATACATTTATACCATGTTAAACAAGAACATATTGACCATTTGCTAGCAAATAGGTTTTCATATACATAGGGCATTTTATACCTATTGTCTAAATAAATTTATTCACTAAGCAAACATGATTAAGCATTTGTTACGTGAAAGGCACCGTTACAGACCCTGAGATGCATTTATGAACAAGAGCACAATGGTGCTCATTCTTGTAGCATTTACTTTCCTGGAGAGAAACAAACTGTAAATGAGAAGAAAAAATAATAGTAATAAATAAAGCTATTCGATAGATAGTGACAGGGATGAGGCAGATGGCTAAAGTACTGGATTACAGGAGAGGCCTATTTGAAAAAGTGTTACTTGAGTAGAGAGCTGGGTGGTAGTTGGCCATGTAAAGATTTGGGGAAGTTCATTCTAGGTAGAGAGAACAAATGGTGGATGGAGCTTGATGTCTTTGAGGAACAGAATGAAAATGGGGCTGGAGAACAGTGAGCAAGAGGGAAGATGGTCGAAGATGAGGTTAGAGAGCTAGGCAAGGTCCTTGTTACTTTAGGGACTTGGCAGGCTATGTTAAGGCGTTTGAGTTTCCTTTAAACAAGTTTATTTGGAAGATTTTAAGCAGAAAGTAACAGTCTGCTTTATCATTTTTAAAAGATCATTTTGGCTACTCTCTGAAGAATGAACTATAAGGGAGCAAGAATAGAAACATAGATGAGTTAGAGACTATTAGGTGGCTTGGACTAGGGGTGGAAGGGTGTTGGCATTGGAAATGTAGAGATGTGGATGGATTTAGGGATTATTAGAAGGCAAAACAGGCTTTGTTGCTAGGATGGAAATAGGAGGTGAAGGAAAGTAAGGAATCAAGAATGATCATAGATTATTTTTTGCTACAGTAGCTACATAGATCAAGAGTTTGCCAGCTTTGGCCTGCTGACCAAATCTTGCCTGGTGTCTATGTTTACAAATAAAATTTTGTTAGAGCACAGCCTTGCTCATTAGTTTATGTATTGTCTGTGACTGCTTTTGCACTGCAATGGTAGAGTTAAGTGGTTGTGTAAAAGACTCTTTGGTAAAATATACTAGACTATCATTACAAAAATGTTTACTGACTCTGGTATAGATTGTCATGATTTTTGTGAGAATCAAGAAGTATGAGGAATGAGCAGGTATTTTTTGCCTGTTTAGTTTTGTAACATGTGTAGGGAATGTTGAAAATAAGAATTTTTCTTTGAACACATGTTAAAATTGAGATGCCAAGATACCACTTAGTTATTTAAGTAAAGATGCCAACTAAGCAACTGGAAATAACAGTTTGAAACTCAGGGGAAAGATAAATTTAGGAGTCATTTATAAAGAGATGGTATTTAAAACTGAGGAATGAATGAATCAGCTAGACTGGTGGCATAGGCCGGGTGTGGTGATTTATGCTTTAATCCCAGTACTTTGGGAGACCAACATGGGCGGACTGCTTGAGCCCGGGAGTTCAAGACCAGCCTGGGCAACATAGTAAGACCTCGTCTCCTGGGACATTCCTTAAGTTAAAGGGTTAAAGGGTAGTCAGAAGAGGGAAGGCAACAACACACTGAGAAAGAATGTCCAGCGAGATAAGAAAAAACAAGGAAAATGTCGCAGAAGCAAAAAGAAGGAAAGTAAGAGTTGTTAGCTATCAAATGCTGCTGAGAGATTGCTGAGGATGAAGAAATGACCATTGGATTTGGGGACATGGTGGTCATTGTTGACTTTGACATCAGTAATTATAATGAAGTATTGGAAGCATAAGCCTAGTTAGGATAAATTGTGGATCAGAAGTAGAAATGAGATTATGGTTAGGGTGGTTATAGTCAATTGTTTAGATAAATTTTGGTATAAATGGGAGAAGAGATATAAGACCATGGTAGAGAAGACTATACTATCAAGGGGAAATATTAATTAAGATAGGAGATTCTCAAGTTTGTTTGTATGCTAATGTTAGAAAAATGAGAGTAATTGATGATACATGAGAGATGCTCAATGCTTACATCATGGAAGTGTTAAGGAAATAAGATCCATAACACAAGAAGAGGGTCTGGCTGTGTATACGATCCAGGTCACTTCTTGCATTGTGTATGAGAGAAGGCAGGGAAAAGTAGATTTATTAATCTGTTTGCAACTTTAATGTTAAGTCTAATTGCTTATTTTTTCACTAAAGAAAGAGGTGAGGTCCTGATCAGCTGATAGTGAGGAAAGGGGGTGATGGAGGTTTGAGGTAAGAAAGGAGTGAATTCAGTCGTTTTGGAGAGTAGGAAAACATACTATGTCAGGACAGTAGAATTGCCAGGCAGTAAGATAATACAAGCAGAAATAAAATGTTTGCTACTGTAATTATATTAGCTGTTTAACCGAAAGTAAAATTTTCAATATCTATTTTACTTATTTTCAGACCCAGTGAGAATATGCTGATTCGTGTCAATAATGATGGAACTTATTGTGCAAATTGGACTCCAGGGGCTATTGGACTTTATACTATTCATGTTACCATTGATGGCATTGAAATAGGTATTGTTTTTAAAGCTATGAGTTGCTTATTTCAAAGAACTGGAATCAAAATCATCTCTGTTCTAGCTTTTTCCCTTTAACTTGTGTCATATCTATGGACAGTTTTCATAATTTATTTGGGGCTTTGTTTTCTCATTCACAGTGAGTAAGATTCTAATATTGTATAATAATTCACGACGTCTGCTCAGGCATTGTAACTCTTGTGACTTCTTTCCTTCATTCCCTGATGTGACCAGTCAGATGTAATCCCCTCCATGCTGCTGTGTTGCCCTGTGCATACTGTCTTCCCCTTGTGATATGTCTATATCTCCTGGCTGTGAGCTGAAACCATTTCATCATGTTTGGATCTTTCAGTGTAGCTCAGTACCTGACACACAATGGTTGCTCAGTAAATATAGGTGAATGAATGAATTTTCTTTATATACTGTGTTAGTCAGGGTTCTCCAAAGAGACAGAACCAACAGGATATATATATACACATGATGTACTTCATAACACCGTTTTGGCCAGTGAAAAATAGCACTATCATATTCATATGATAGTGGTCCCATAAAATTATAATACCATATTTTTACCGTTCTTTGTCTATGCTTAGATATGTTTAGATACATAAACATTTAACATTGTGTTGCAGTTTCCTGCAGTATTCAGTACAGTAACATGCTATACAGGTTTGTAGCCTAAGAGAAATAGTCTGTACCATCTAGCCTAGATGGGTAGTGGGCTGTACCATCTAGGTTTGTGTATGTACATTCCATAATGTTTGCACAATGATGGAATCACCTGATGCACACTTCCAAGAATATAAATCCTGTCCTTGAGTGACACATGACTTTATAGATATATAAGAAGGGATTTATTAGGGAAATTGACTCACACAATTTTGAAAGCAAAGAAGGCCATCTGCAAACTGGGACACTGGGATGCCAGTGCCTTCAGAATCAGAGAAGCAGGTAGTATAACTCTCAGTCCGAGGCCAAGGGCCTGAGAATCTTAGTGGCCACTGATATAAGTCCTGGAGTCTAAAGGCCAGGGAACTTGGTGTTCTAATGTTCAAGTACAGATGAGGAATAGTGTAACCCAGCTCCAGAAGATAGGTAGACATATTTACCATTCCTCTGTTTTCCTCCAGATCCCCAGCTGACTTTGTGGTGTCTGTCCCCATTGAAGGCACATCTTCCCCACTTAGTCCACTCAGATTCATTTGCCAGTCTCCTCTGGAAACACCTCACAGGCCCCAAAATGATACTTTACTAGGTATCTAGATATTCCTTTATCCAGTCAGGCGTACACATAAAATTAAGCATTGTAACCATTAACTTTGAAAAACATATTGCTTTTCCTTTGCCTTACTTTTAAACTACCTGTATGATAGGCTAATAGTTGAATGAGACTCTAGTGTTCATTGATGTGAATTTCCTGTAACTATTCTTCTTAATGTTCCTCAAGAAAAAGGGTTTCTGTGATTAGATATATTTAAAAAACCTGGTTTGGGTCTAGCATTCCTTAAATGCTTGGGACCAGAAGTAGCCTCAATTTCAGTGTTTTTTGGATTTTGGAATATTTGTATTATACTTACTGATTGAACATCCCTAATTCAAGAATCCAAAATTCAAAATTCTCCAGTGAACATTTCTTTTGAGTATCATGTCAGTGCTCAAAAAATTTTGAATTTTGGAACATTTGGATTTCAGATTTTCAGATCAGAGATGCTCAAACTGTATTTTATAGTCTGACTTGAGACATTTATATAATCTAAATCGACATATTAAGGATTCTGAGAAATTCTGAAATTAAGAACCTTGTCTAACTTTGTTTAATCATTATCATGGGATGCCTTACATGTGGGAAAGGGAAAGACATTGTGGAGACAGAAGTATTACTGATTAATATTTCACCAGATACCCTTTGGGAGCCCTGCTTTTAAGTAGTTAGTTTTGGCAGTGGAGGTAAAGAGGTACTTTACATTTATATAACTGTATATTCTTACACATTAACATAACTACAGCATCAGATATATCAAATTCATCTGTACCAGAGCCCTTTGTCCATAGCATATCCATAAAGCCTTTAGTTCAGCAAACATTTTGTTTTTTTTTAGTTCTGAGCAAACTATTGTCTAAGTAAGGTAATTCCTGTCAATGTTGACAATTTATTGAGAACTGCCGTGATAAAACCGGCAAACAAAAATCATTATGAAGTAGACTATCAGTAGTGAGACACAAGAGATACAAATTAAGAAGGAATTCAAAAGTGAAGGTAGTCAAGAATCACACTGTGAAGATTTTTTTCTTTCTAAAAATAATGGAGACTAGGCATGATAGCTCACACCTGTAATCCCAGCACTTTGGGAGGTTGAGATGAGAGGATTACTTGAGCACTTTGTTCTACACTTATATATTTAAAATCATTTAGTCCTCACAACTTCTCAGTGAGTTGGGTGCTTTTACTCTTTACATTTTATAGATGAAAAATTGAAGCACAGACAATCAAACAATTAGGGACCGATGTGGGAACATCCAAGGCAGTTTACTATGAGAACCTCAGCTTTTAACAACCGTGCTATACTGCCTGTCAGTCATTGAGATGACCGGTATAGATCATGAATGGTATGCTGAGGAACTCAAATCATTCTGCAAAAAAGATACCTGCACACGTATGTTTGAAGCTCTATTCACAGTAGCAAAAACATGGAACCAACCATCTGCCCATCGAAGCTGGACTGGATAAAAAAAATGTGGTACATATACACAATGGAATATTATGCAGCCATAAAGGACAAACATATGGACTTTGCAGCAACTTGTATGGATTTAGGGTCGATCATACTCAGTGATCTATCACAGAAACAAAGAACAGAGTACCATATGTTCTCACTCATAAGCAGACATTGAACAATTGTCATAGTACTATAGAAAAGGATTGGCGGTAGTGGTAAACTGCCAGGGGAGGGATGGGATTGGCAGTTGAGAGAAATTGCCAGGGGAGGGAGGAGAACACCTTATCAACAAGGGTACCTGCGTAATGAACATTTGTATACCTAACGCTGAATTGTACCCCACATCTTTAAAATAAAATAAAATTGAAAAAAATTTACTCACACAAGGGTTTCTTTTTATTTTTTTTCAGTATCATTTCATACATTCTAGTTAAAAAATGGGAGCTCTTTTTTCCCCTTGAGATTCTGAAACATCTCTTTAGAATCTCAGGGTCATTTAAAAAATATTTCTCTTTTTTATCCTGTTAAATATCAGTAACTTTGAAAGGTTAGATATTAGATGTTTGTTTTAATTGTTTAAAATAGCCTGTGAATGTTTATAAGGTAAAGTTTAAGAATCCCCGCTCTCTTTTATCCTTGAATTTTATAGTTCCCTTCTTTTTCTGACAGATGCTGGCCTAGAAGTAAAAGTAAAAGACCCACCAAAAGGGATGATACCACCAGGAACTCAGCTGGTCAAACCAAAGACAGAACCACAGCCAAATAAGGTTAGGGTAGAATGAAATCAGAACCTAAATCATTCAGATATAAAAATTTTTTCATTGATGCTTAGCCATTAAAAACCTAATATTTCGCTTTATTTCAGTATTTGAATTCTAAATATCCTTGAATAAATTCAGAGAGTCATTCATGATCATTTTATTATTTCTAAATTATACAACCTTTTTTTGCTTCCTTGTGTGATGTTGTAGTAATTTGTAGACGTAAGCTTCCTGCTGTTGAATGTTTACAATTAACAAAAATACTACTGAAGTTAAGTGTAAAGTTTGCAAGGTGAATATATCCTGTACTGTTAAAAGAAAAATTAATTTCTAAAATCTAAAGAGTAAGTACAGGCATTTTGGTAAGCTGCCTGTTATAAAATGAAACTGTCATGGAATTTATATCATATTTTTCTAAAAGGAAAAAGTGGATTTCATATTTTTTAGCATATGTCTTCAAAATTTAGAAAGGAAATTATAAACATATATAATAATTTTCTAAGTTTTTTTCAGCAGTACTTGTCAATACTTAAAACGTTCTCTTGTTATTGTAGTTATAAACTACTGTTATTTGCAAAGAAAAGCCTACAAATAATTTTGGAAACTTTGTCAGAATTTTGGTAATTTCAAATCTGTTTAGTTTTATTCCTTGGTACTTTTAAGTTCTTTATTTCATGTTTTTCCTGTCTCACTGAGTATCTTTACCTTTCTCAGGTTCGAAAATTTGTGGCCAAGGACAGTGCAGGGCTCCGCATCCGAAGCCATCCTTCCCTCCAGAGTGAGCAGATAGGCATAGTAAAAGTTAATGGAACTATCACTTTTATTGATGAGGTAATTGATGAAGAAACCCTTGGTAATAAATTTTGGACAGAAACTTTTTACGTTGTTTACACAGTAATAAGTTTACTAGATTGTCTGTTAGAATATGTTTTAAGCAACTTGGGACATATTTTGAATATTATTTTACAGAATAAGTTCATTGAGTTTCAAACATTTCATTTATTTTATCATAAAAAATATATATATGATGGACATGAAAAGAACAGTAAAAGTGTTCAACATAGTATTCAGAACCTATATAAGTATTCACGGAACATGGGTATAGTTTTTCATGAATTTTCAAAACATTGTTTGTTTTAAAATGTGTTTCTTGTACTGCTTTAACTTTGGATAATATACCTTTCTAGTAGTACAACCAAGTAACTTCTGGTTATTAAAATATTTATAGGGGAAGATTTTATAATCTCACCATATGAATTATATTGTGTTAGCATTCCTTTCTGCTTTGTTCCCCTAGAGGTTTTCTCATACTTACTTTCTGTAAAAACTAGATGCTTAATCTCCATATCTGCCATTATTTGCCTGCATTAAAGCCTTTCAAACCTTGCTAGCCTCATAGTAGTTACAGGAGGGCCTGGTTTGTTTCCTTTGGTTTTTTCCCTTAGATCCACAATGATGATGGTGTGTGGCTGAGACTGAATGATGAGACAATAAAGAAGTATGTTCCTAACATGAATGGTTATACTGAAGCCTGGTGCCTGTCTTTTAATCAACATCTTGGCAAGAGCCTTCTGGTCCCTGTTGACGTAAGTGAAAGGTGGTTTTAAAAAGCACTATAGATATACTCTGTTCTTATTACAGGACTTTCTTTAATTAAGGCTTTTCAGTTCTGAGGTAACCCACAATTAAGACATTTTCACTTTATGAGTACTTGAATTTTTCAGGGCTTCTATGTAGTGACAATAATGTTTGGCAAGGTTAAGTCCTTAGTGGCTTATCAGGATCCATTACAGGTAGGAGGTAGTAAATTAAAACTAGGCCTGCTGAAATCCTTCCAAAGAGGTTAAGGGTAAGAGTAGTTATATATTTTTTTTCTCCTCTTTTAATTTATACTACTGTTTGGAATGAATTCCAGACTAAAACGTCTGAACTTGGAATCATTATACACTGAAAAACATGTATAAATATATGTTATGTTGGCATTTTAAAAATAGTTCTGTGTGTTTTGTCTAATCTTGATTCTTTTCTTTCTTGACTTATGTTGTTATTATGGTACTATAAGATGGATTCTTAAACTTGGGATGCTGTATTACTAGTTGAGAGTAAATCCCAGTCTTTGAAAGCATTTTTGGGCCATTTTGATAAATATAGAGTTAGAATCGATGTTTACATGATTGCTGTATTACAAAATATGATAGCAACCCAATATCTTTTTGCATAATTTAACCAGAAAAGTATGATTTTTCTGTTTTTCACTACTCTCAGAAGTTCATGCTCCTTATCCCAGTGCTAACAAATAGCAGTGGTAAAATTTTATTTTTAAAAAAGCTTAGTATTTTAAACAGCTGCATTTCTTAAACAATGTATAAAGTTTGCTTATTATATCAAACCATTCAATATATTGTGTTTTTCTCCTTGACTGTCCATAATAGTATTCTCCAATGCAGTAATTTATGTAAGATTATTCCTTGTGGAAAAAAATATTGGAACTTCTGTTTAAATTTATTGATCTCATTCTTTTTTAGATTCTTTTGTATTTGTTTTATAATAGCACAATGGAGATTTTATAGACAGTAGATACATAATCAAGAAAACTTGGAGAGTGTTGACCTACTGCTTTACTGAGATGAAGCTGAACAATGATACATCTATAATTAAAATAATAAACGTTACATTAAAGAATCAGATCTTCTTAAATTTTACTCAGATTTATACCTGCAATTAAAAATAATTTTGACTCTCTGGAAAAAGAGTGACTACACTGGAAGAGAAATAATAGTTTTTTATCATCTGTGGCTAAAAAGTTGACCTAAGATAGTTTGAAACCATTTTTCATTATAGTAACCAAATATTTCTCAGGGTTGTGAAAAGTGTATTTTAAATGAGATACCTCCAACAACCATTTTGTGTATTTTTTTTAACCAATTTAAATTTTTGTGTGTTTTATTTTGAAAAGTTTTCTTAAGTACCTAATAAAACATGGTACTAGGTTACAAAATTAACTGGCCTAGGGCTCCAGACAAATCTGGTATAAAGTTACCTCAGTACAATGTTAACTGAGGACCCACACAGTCAGAAGCTTGGCATAGGCCTACACATAGGCAGTAACAGGCTCAGTTTTCCAGGTTTGTTTCTGTAGGGATTAGAGTCAGCCTCTTAGTCAATAAGTTGCTTATGGGTACCTTACTCTGCAGGGTCAAATGTGATTGGGCATAGAGGGAATAATGATTCAGTTTCATCCCCTCAAGGAAATAACACAGCTAAATAATTGCATCTGCTACTTCTTCCTTTGTGTCTCTTAGTACATATGTTGCTGGAAAAGCACTTCATTTTTTTTCTCCCTTCTTTCTTCAGTCCGTTTGTGAGTAAATCAACTATAATCATAGCTGATAATTGTAAAACACAACTCAATAGAAAAAATGGAACCTAGGAGATCTGAAATAAAATTAGAAATAATTAAAAATCAACATCACTAACTTAAAAAGAATGCAAAAGTACCAAAAAGTCACCTTTAGCAATATTTACATCTACCTCTTCAACCTTTTCTTTTAAAACAATTTCATATTTACATCAATATGTGTACCTTATTTAGATCCAGGTTCAAACAAACTATAGAGGAGATTGGGGGCAGAGGTTTAAAATGTGAACACTGAATATTTGATGATGAACCATTGAAAAAATAGGATTACCATAAATAGCTAAATTTAGAATAAGCTTTAAAAGGCCTTTTCACTGTCTTGCTTATTTACTCATATTTTGGAATTCTTGTGTTCATTGCAAATACAAGCTTTAGCTAAATTTTGGCCTCCCTACCAATAGTTCTACCATTTCTTGGTTAAGAGATACTGGTGTTTTTAGTTCAAGAGTGATTTAAGTGCTTTAGTGTTTAATGCTCTAATTTAGAGATTAAATAGTTTTAGACATTCATATTGTGACTGCATATTTTCAAAAATAATTGTTAAATTGATGAGAAAGGGCTAAATAGATGAAGAATATTTGTGAAGCTTTCATTTTCTATTATGTAGAACTGTTTTTTTCTCTAATTTTTAATTAGTTGTCCAGACTTAAAATTTGGTTTCTGTTGATGATTTTTTCTCTGTACTTCCCAATAATACTATGTCTTTAATTCGTTAATTGCTCATTCAAAAAATATTTGAATTCCTATCAAGTGCAAGCTGGGAAGTAGCTATTGAGTGGAGAGGCGGGTGGGGGTAGACACAAAAAATAAATAGGATGGGATGCAGTTGTTTGTGGGGTGCTCACAACATAATGTGGTAGACAATACTGTATTCAGATAATTGAGTTGCATTGTAGTAAGTTGTAGGATGACTTTACTTAGGAGGTGACATTTGAAGAGGTGTTGGAAAAAAAGTTGAAGAAATTTCTAGACAGAGAATCAAATGTTCAAAGTTGTTAGTTATGCTATATATGTGAACTGATAAATAGTTTCTATGAATGAAGCAGAGGATTTGGTGTAGAAAGCAGACACATACTGGAAAGTTAGGTTTATCTCTCCCTTCTCAGGTGGCACTTAGTCTTTACCAAATAGGAAGGGCTTACTACTTTTTGCAGTTTCCTGTGATTATTGAGTTTTTCTTGCCTTCAGCTCATTTGTATGTGTATACCTATTTCTGTTTTTAAGTTCCTCAAAGGTAAGGGCTCATTATGGATTCCTTACTCAAACTTGTTTCTTCCTAAGTAGTAAATTATTGCACTTTGCTTATAGTAAGTTTTCAGCATTTGTTGATGCTTACTTTTAGTACTTTGCATTTGGTATGACCATGCTGCTTAAAATAATTCCATAACACACATATGTTTCCTACCTTAATTGTTTCACTTAATTCTCATGGTGAGCTGTGATGTTAAATATATTATCATTTTCCTTTCACTGAGGACCCACTCATACAAGATCACAAGTAGAAAGTAGTGGATCTGGTATTGGAACCCCAGGTTTATGTGATTTCAAATCCCATGCTTTTATGTTCCATATGCCTTAATCTAGAGGAGAGATAAGGATAAATAAAGTTATAGCAGAATGAAGGAAATATAGCTAAAAGTCATATTACTTTGGTTAAAATTGCCAAATTATACTATGATTACATATAACCTTATGGGTTGAATGAGGATGAAAGCCACTATATGTATTGAAGAGGACGTGAGTCAGTCTGAGAAGGCATCCTGGAAAATAAATACTTACTGATTTTAAATTAAATTTCTAAAGATTTGGAATCTACCAAATATGACCAGTACAATATTTTATACATCAGGGAAGATGCAAGTTAAATAAAGAGGGAAATCTTTTTTTTTTTTTTTTTGAGTTGGAGTCTCACTCTGTCGCCCAGACTGGAGTGCAGTGGCCTCTCCTGGCCACCACAGCCTCGACCCGCTGGGCTCCGGCGATCCTTCCACCTCAGCCTTCCAAGTAGCTGGAACTACAGGCGCGCGCTGCCACGCCTGGCTGATTTTTTATTTTTATTGTAGAGATGAGGTCTCGCCAAGTTGCCCAGGCAGGTCTCGAATCCACGGGCTCAGGCAATTCACTTGCCTCAGCCTCCCAAGACGCGCGGGATTACAGGCTGAGCCACCGAGCCCGGCTTAAAGAGGGAAACTTTTATGCACATGACATGGGAGACATTTGACTGCCTAGAATGAAGAGCTTAAGTTTTTGGAAGATAAGTTTGCTTCTATGATAGGAGACATTAGTGATTTGAAACTTATACACCTAGTTCTTTGGGTACTTTGTCAAAAACAAGATCTGTCAACATTGTGAAGAGAGTTGGGTGGAAGAGAAAGTTTATATCAAAGAAAGTAGGTGTTATACCAATAGAAGTATTCTAAGATGTCTTTATGATACCCATATAATCTAAATTCTTGCAGAAGCAACTTGGGTCTCTGGACAACTCCATGCATTTATGCAGATCACTTCCTATTTAGGCTGATGGTTGTTCACATATAGAAAATCTGTTGATTTTCCAAAATTTGGGGGATGAAAGAATTGAAAGTATCATTTGATGGTCTCTCTTATAGTATCACCCAGGGTAATTGGTAATATCAGCCAGTGTTTCTTGAATTTTAAATCCAGTTTCAATTTAGGTAACCCAATAATGCTTAGCATTCACATCTTAATATATCCCCAGTTTTTTGGTTTTGTTTTGTTAGTAGGTTTATATGTGTATATATACATAATCTATTTTTAATTTTAATAATATTAAGTCTTTACTTAATACAGCATGCTGTTCTTAGATGTTTAAAGACAGTTTTTTTTCAATCTCTAGCTTAGTGTTAAAATTTCATAAACAGGGGCAGCCGCCTCGGGTCCCCTCCCACTGTGGGAGCTTTCTTGTCCTCTCAATAAATCCTGCTTTCTCAAGAAAAAAAAAAAGTTTCATGAACAGAATGAGATTAAGAGATGGTACTATAATAATTTTGTTTATGCTATGCTTAGTATTCCTGAATTATTTTATTTTTTTGCATTAAAAATGGCAGTTCTTAGCTCTGTGCTTATCTAGCACAATGGAAGTTGTTTTGTTTGTTTGCATGAGCATTTGGCATGGTTGGTTGGTCATGTATTTTTACTGTGATAATTATTCACTTATTTGATCTCTTCTGTCCCTTGAAATATTATCAGCTTAGAGTTACAATGTTGTGTTCATTAATTTAGTTAAGCTTCTAGTGTGCTTTACTTTTCTAATTTTCTTGACAGAACTTTTCTGCCTTTAAAATGATATTTAAGAATAAGATGATTTCAATTTTTGTATATATGGCATATGTCTGTGTGTATATATATACATACATATACATACATATACATATACATATATATACATATGTATATATGTATATGTATATGTATGTATATATATACAGACACACACACATAAACAAATTGTGCTCATATTACTCTATGCAGTTGTACAATATAAAGGCTGACATATTTAAATAGTGAGAAATTAATATTGTTATGCATGTTCATGTCATTGGACTAAATATTCAAAAGAAAATTATTCGTGTGTGTGTGTGTGTGTGTGTGTGTGTGTGTGTGTGTTTGTGTTTGAGATGAGGTCTCACTATGTTGCTCATGCTGGCCTCGGATTCCCGTGTTCAAGTGACCATCTTGTCTCAGCCTCTCAAGTAGCTGGAAGTAGGCATGTAACACTGTACCTGTCTATTCAAGTATATTTTATTTTTAAACCACAAATTTTTATTTGGTTAATTTTTGATACTTGATAAACAGAATTTTATTAGGATAGTGCATTTTGAAAATAATCTTTTAGGAAACCAGTGTGAATCAAAAATATTCTACAACTGCAGAACAAAAGGAAAAAAATTCTAATTTGTATTTACATATAATTAACATATGCAAAATTGGTGGGGGGTTTTGGCAATTTATTACCATGGTTTGCAGTTACATCACTTTAAAGTATCATACATGCCTTTGATTCCGACAGCATGTAAATTTGCACACTGAATTAAAAGAGAAAGATAAGCTGTAAATATTGTCAGTTACCCCATTGCTGCTTTTTTACCTGCATCACTTTTAACAATTGCTTTTCATGTTGCTTTTCATGTTACTAGAATAACTTATGCTAAAAAATTGAAAATGCTACAAAAAATCTTGATATTGTTTTATGTCAAAAGGTCTGCACCACCATTCTCTGTAAGGGAGACAAACTATTCAGCAGGTACTTTACAAATTCTTCCGTACATGGATGAATCAATAGGGACAGTTTCCCACTCCCTCCTTAAAAAATTAGCATTTTAAAATGCTTTGCAATATGTTTTCACTTTATCTAAAGAGAAAGATCCCTTATTCACAACCCATTTTTAACTGGGGAATTTGGTAGTAGTTTTGGTTTACATTTACTTGTAGTCATATTTTTAGAAACTCATTTTTTGGGGGCTTTTATATGTCTTATGTTTAAGAATTCACATATATGTATGTAGATGGTATGAAACTACATTCATCTATGTACATATATATATAAGGAAGATGAAGAACTAGAGAATAGTAAATAAATTTTTATTGTCTAACATGATTTATATTTGACTGGTAATTGTGATGTTTCTTTTGTGTTAAAGTCAGTTGATGGTCTTTTTTATTAATATTTTGAATGGCCTCATTTTGGTTCAGAATAACCATTTATCACAAGATTTACATAAGCATTTAAAATTGTGCAATTGCTACTCATTGGAAAGATTTTAATTTCAGATTAGAAAAACAGATTGATAGCAGGATATATCTGTGTAAAATGGATATCATTTAAATTATCAGTAAGACATTTTTTGAAAATATTGATTTTTTTCTGGGATCCTGTTTCTGTGAATTAATTGTTCCTTAACAAAATATTTTTAGACTTTAACATAGAGATTCTAAATGCTCTGCATTTCCTAAACTTTGAGATGGAGAAAAATAGGCCTGTCTTTTGATTAAATATTTAGAGTGTATGTATTTTTTATTCTTTCTTAACAAATTTGCTAATAGCCTTCAGAAACATTTCCAATTGATTTTTTTTCCTACTTAGAGTGAAAATTGAAAAAATTACTTAGATTTTTTTTGTCTTTTTGCTTTTAAAAAGTGATAATTAGTTCACATATACTACATGCCATTATTATTCACAATAATAGTTGCATTTTCTATACAATCTACGATATTTATATTTTCATTATGAAACAGCAGACTGTTTTCTGTCATAAAACAAATCTGGCTTCTATTAGAACAAATACATCCTTATTCATAGAATTTTAAGGTTTCCCTCCTGCATTGACTATCTTAAGCTTTATAACAATGTCTGGCTCTTAATTCCAGTAAATGGCATGACACACTATATCCATGGAGAGCTTTTGACAAAACTGTATTTATCAGAGTTTCTTTGGAGTATGGTTTACTCAGATGGCTTCAGTTTCCCTTTAGTAAAATAATATTTCCGTGTTGGTGTTAGAGTACAGAAAAATGTTGTTACTGTGAACGCATCTTCTGCAGATGATATCCTGTTCCCTTTCTTTGTTGATATTTTTCTTTCTTAAACTTTGTTGCTCAGAATATCTTTAATGCTAGCCAAGGAGTCAGGGATTTGGACGTATTTTCATGGACTTCCAAAGCTTTTTTCCCCCAGGTGAGTTAACTGTAAGGAACAATTATACATTATTCAGGTATTTCAGCATGTATAGCAAATTTTATATCTTTGAAACCTTTACTTAATAATATTCTTACCACAAAAAGATCACACAGAGTGCTGCAGTCGGGGTTCCCCTCTATTCCTGACAAAGAATGTATTATTAGTTTAAGTGATACTCTTACATGACTTCAAATTTGCTATATTTAATTTTATGACTAGCTTCTCCAACAATTACATCCATGTTTAACTTTTTCAGAACTCACTTATGTAGGTGATAGTGTCCTGACCTTATGGCTCTTCTATTTTTTTCCACTGCCTGCTCTATTACACTGCCCTTTTGAATGTTCATCTGAAAATAGGATGATAATAGAGGGAGAAAAAAATACTGAAATTCACCAGTTTCATTTCCCAGGTCTCATATTTCTGTATTGAATAAAACCTGTATTTTGGAATTGCTTGAGAGCGACAGGCACAGTTCTATGATTTTATGTCAAATTTATACTGTTTAGTACAAAGAATTGGATAAACTTTAATTTTTTTAAAGTTCTCATGCACTACCTTCCAGTGAGTGGTTTGCATTTATTATTAGTTATGTCAAGACTTACCTTTCAGTGTTAACCTGAATGATCAAAAGTTAGAATTATTATTATAGCAAATTAAATGCTCTAGGAATATACTTAAATACCAGTAAAATTGGGGTTTTTTGTTAAATCTATGATTATTTGCATGTTTTTATGTCACCATATGATTTTTAAAAATCAGTTGTGAATAGGACTAATACTTGCCTTTTCCAACTATGAAATGGCATGATCTATTTACTAAAGTTTACTGCTCACAAATAGGCATTTAAAAATGTTTGCTGAAAATCTTGTGAATGTAGTAATACTATGTAAAGTTTAAGTCTGTCTTACTCAATTTTTATTTTGAGTGCTCTGTATTTTCATATAGGTGTGTGTGTATATATATTTATATATATACACTTTTTTACAAATATGCATACATGTGCATATGAAATGCATATTTTAAGTTAATTTTTGGTTGTAAACCTAAGTTTTTCAAGTGCTCAAAATTCTCATTTTTATTAAATTGACAATATATAACTAAAGAATATAAATACATTACAACATGTAATTATAATATAATTTATAATTATAGTAAATATAAATAAATTGTTCATAATGCATATTTATTTAGCTAAAAAATTCATGTTTATTTATCACCACAGTGAAACTTAAAAAACATTATGTGAAAGTTAATGGTAGGTTAAAAATTTTCTCTAACCAACTATTAAATTAACAAAGACACAGGTACACAGAATATTGGAATCCACATATTGTTTAATTTGAGGGTTTTATTTTTAATATTCTTCTATGTGTATGGACTTGTATCTGTTATCTCAATATGAGACTACTTATAGAGAGAACTAGTTAGTAAAATGTCTTGTATATTAGTTTATCTTTATTTTTATTCTATTTATAACATTATTAGGTATTAATTTTATCCTGTTGTTTGTATGCATGTCCCATTATGGTTATCTTGTACTCTATTTGAATATAAAGTAATTAGTAGAATCCATATTACTGTTTTTAAAAGTACGGTTTTGAATCTATTTTAGAAGAGTAATTCTGGCAATGGAAGAACCTCCAGTGTAGAACTTTTATTCACAGTTAGTTGGGGAAAAGAGAAAATATAGAAAAGTTATTATTTCTGTTTATTACACTCACATAAGAAACAGTTTTATCACAGCATTCTTATTCAACAGAAATTTAGAGCAGGTTTTTGTCTTTCATTTTAGAAGTGAGAGTTTTCAATGATATAAATTTAAATACATTAAATTTCCTTAAAAATAAATCTTTAATCTTAATCTCTCTTGTCTATTAAAAATATACTTTTTTTCTCTGTTACTAACATTAATATATCATTGCACAGTAATGGCTTAACAAATCTAGCAACATTTTTACCTGTACTATATTAGAAAGTGTAAGTTATTAAAATCTTATGTGTCTTCATTTTATTTATAACTATCAGTATTAAAATTTATGCATAATTTTCATCATTGTTGTCTCTGCTTATAGATAAGTCTTCTGTCTTCATACCTGTTCTCTCTATTTATAAATAATTACTTCAAAGTTGAAATGAATATTTAGACTTTTTTTACCCACACCAACATACAACAATACAGTAATAATGATTCAAAATTATTCAGTTGTGATTTACACAGTCAATTACATTTATTTCTCAATTACATTTATTTCTCCTACTTTATTTTTCCATCAAGAGATGAAAGTAAAATCAAGGACTATTATATTTCTCAAATTGTGATGGGCAAAAGCTAGAGATTCAGTTGCTCTCCTGCTATATTTTCTTTTCTTCAACTTTATTTTGAATATCATTCAGTATTGAAAAACTGAGATTTTGTAATTTTTAGTATTGACTAGTATGTCAACTATATTTAGATATGTTTTCTTTTTAATTGACAGTATTATTCACTTGCTATGAAAGCTATTAAAAGGAGAATTTTGAGATTGATAATAGATTATACTTTGTTTATTTTTTTTCCCCTTTTCAAATTTCCAGGAATCTAAAACTAATACTGATGACTTTTTCAAAGACATAAACTCCTGCTGCTCACAGGAAGCAACAATGCAAGAGCAAGATATGCCATTCTTGCGAGGAGGGCCAGGCATGTACAAGGTAGTGAAGACGGGACCTTCAGGTCACAACATCAGAAGCTGCCCTAACCTTAGAGGTATCCCAATTGGAATGTTAGTTCTGGGAAACAAAGTCAAAGCAGTAGGAGAGGTATGGATTCTTGTAGCTTCATGACTTCTAAGATAATTCATTTTAAATATAATACAACCAAAGCATCTCTTTCTTCTAAAGTTTACCATTTTCATCTCAGGTTTTTAAATGTTAATGTATTTTATCTGTACTTGTATTGCAAATACTAACATAATTTTTTGTGCTTCTTTTCTAATAACTTTATTCCCATAATTCTTATGAAAGCAATATTTATATTAATAGTGATTTGTATTGTATATATAAATGTTCGGTATTTACATATATCTTTTCATTGTTACAAACGTACACTATACCATCATGGATTATCATCAGCACTTAAAATATTTTATGTGGTCGGTATGGAGGTGTGATAATATACGAAAGGTTTCATTTCTTTGTTCCCATTCATAGGTCTCACTGAAGTCCTGAGCTAATAAAATTACTTTTAAAGTTACTATGGCATTTGCCTCAGCAGATAAGCTTGAAGATGTAGTGTGTCATGCTATTTCTCAATAAGGGTCATTTTCAGATTTCACTATAGGTATTATCAACCTAAATGATAGCAAGTACACTGTGTTGGGACATTTTTGATGCAAAAAAAAAAAAAGGAGCCATGTGTTTTTGGGTAACATAAACTTACTTATGGAATATCTTTGTGCTTTAAAAATTATTATTTTAACCAAATTCATAAATAAGCAGTATTTTACACAACTTTTTATTTCTTTCTTACCTCAGGCTGTGGTCTTAATTTCAGAAACAAATTTCATGGTAGAAATGTATTGGAATGATTACACAATTCAAACATTTAAGCTTTTTACTTGTTTTCGTACTGAATACCCCAAAAGAATCAAGCCAATCAATCATGCTTTTTGTTATGTACCAGGTAACCAATTCTGAAGGTACATGGGTGCAGCTGGATCAGAACAGCATGGTAGAGTTCTGTGAGAGTGATGAAGGAGAGGCATGGTCCTTAGCTAGAGACAGAGGCGGAAACCAGTACCTCCGACATGAAGATGGCAAGTTTGCTTAAATTTGTGATTTATTCCAATTAGCCTTTAAAATACAGAAGTTTAACGTGTATTGTATTGCTTTTGTCTTAAAGAGTTTTTTCTGTTTTTGTTTTGTTTTTTGAGTAAAAGCAAAACTAAAGGTGAAAAAAATCTTGCAATAATTAAAATTGGTTGATAAATATATGGGTACTCAATGCAGATAAAAGGAGAAAATTAAATTTGAAACATATAAATCCATCTTTATAAAACATGCTTTTTATCTCGTTAGTAGAAATGTATATGCCTTGTTCTTTTGTGCCAGCCTATGACTGAACATTTTACCCTTTATGTCACAAAACGGAAGTTCAAAATTCAAACCACCAATCATAGTACTTCTCCCAGGCAACTTGATTCAATTTTGTCTTAAGGAGGTAACATTAAATAAATATATAGTGTCTTTTCAGGTTTTTCTATTTATTGTCAGATTATTGACTTTAAACTTTATTTCTTTCAACATAGATCTCACGTAGTAGCATATTTTTTCTTTGTCTCCCCTCTTTAATCTCCTGGTGTCAAAAATTTGTTCTTCAAAGTTCAGACCATGTTATCACTTGTATGAATGTTTAGTTGATCCTGACAGAGCCAGGAATTCTCTGTGTTCCTAAAGACCTGTGTTTACCACTAAAACAAAATTGATTTTGTTATAGTGAAGTTAATTTTTATTTCTTCATTCCCAGATTGTGAGTCCCTTCATGCCCAGATTGTGAGTCCCTTATGGACAGGCACAGAGTTTTTATCTTTGCATTTCTGCTTCCAAAACAGATTTGACACATACTAGTTACTTATTTTGTGAGAAAATAATAGCACATCAAAATAAGTATGTAAACAAGCGTAGACTTGTCTACTAAATCCCAAAAATTTTAGGATAAGATTGATAAATATGAGACCATGCTTCTTTATTCAAAAGATAGTGAACTTATAATATTTATTATTCAAGAGGTAATATGGCCGAAAATATAAACAGATTCAAAAAATGTTTGAAATTTGCACAATGACATAGTACCTTTGAAGATAGTATTGCCCTTTTTTTCCCTGAAGCAAGCCTTTGAGGTAGGTAAAATAATCTTCAATTTCTTTGGTAAGGAAACTCAAGCCCATGGAATTTAAAATGTCTTGCCAGTAGTTATACAACTGGTTACATGGCAGATGTATGACTTGAGCCAGAATCTTCATTTATATTTTAAATGCTATGCTTATTACACCATGCTACACTTTGAACTCAAACTGAAAACCTACTTCCTTTTCTTTTTTTTTTTTTTAGCCAGATAACCACAAAGATGATGTGGTTATAAAATATGTCGTGAGATTATAGAACCATTTGTCATTTGAAAAGAAAAAGGTTCTGTTTGATGTAAATCAGACATTTAAAAAATAATCTCAGTTACTAAATACTTATATATTACTTATATTTACTACATATTTGTAAATATTTAAACATTTTTCTTTGTATAAAAATATTCAGATATAAATAAAAATACCTAAAGTGAAATCAGCTTTATTTAAGATGTAGTTAAGTATGAGAATGGCTTAGGTGACTCCCAAAGGACCTTTCTAGCTTAATAATTTTTTAGCTGACAGCATAACATAATGTGTAAGAGTAGACTCTGGAACTAGACTGACAGGGTACTGATCCCAGCTCTATAACTTTTTAGTTGTGTGACCTTGGCCAAGTTAACCTAGTATCTCTGCACCTCAGTTTTCCTATTTATGAAATGACTTCATAAGTCATAACCTCATAAATTTTATTTGAAGACTAAATAAGCAAATAATGTATAAAGCTAACATGCTAAGTTATGTATTATTGTTAAAATGTAAAATACCCCCTATTCTAAGGAGCAAGTTTTAACATAGGAAATTGTATTCTCATACATTTAGAAGGTTCTTCTAAGATAAAAATGTCTCTTAAATTAGGATATCATTTCTGGTGAATAATCCTAGAAGAAGATTATTAAGGGAGGCTTAAATTTTTCTTTGGAATAAGTTAATCATCTTTTAATCTTTTGATACCTAGATGTAGATATTGGGTCATAATGTGAGTCTTAATATTTTAATATAAAACCTAGAGTGATAAGGAAAAAAGTGGTAACAATGCTAGTGCTTTAAAAGAACTAAGACTAGTTGATGTAATACCCAAATATTCTGCTCATTGCTGTTAATATGGAAATAGGACTTGGCACTATGGTTACTTAGATGGAGTAGTGTAAGTTTTAAAAAATGCTTTCCTCTGTAAAAAGTCTTTATTGGTCTTTGGTATCTATGGATAAAGCTAGTAGGTAAAGTTGCTATTACAGTCAAAAACTGACTTCACTATGGGTGCTAGACCATTCTGAGTCTAGAGGGGAGGAGTGATGCTGTCTTCCGTTCAGATTACTATTCATGGGTATTTTTCAGAAGACATATTCCACTGCTGAAATATCTCATACTGAAGAGTATTGCCTAAGGGAAGTGCTAGGATTGGTTTTTTTGAATAAAGTCTACAAATGCTGGTTAAGAGGTAGACCATACAGTACCACTGGTACAGCAGAATTCAAATTACAGGTAGGAAGAAAACATTCCACCATGCCCCTGTATGTAGTTCCATGTTCTTTTTGATACTGACCTTTTAAAAATATATTTAAAGCATTTCAATTTTCATAAGATTATCTTAATAGAAAATATATCGTTTTCTCTCTGTTGCCTTTCATTTGACAGACTTTATTTCGCTTTTTTTTTTTGAAAGTTGGCATTAATACGGATATTCAACTATGACATTATTTTGAGTATTATATCAGACAGAATCTTAGAACCACATAATTGTTCATAGGACATTAATTTAGTTGACTTACATTATTGGTTACCTCTTGCCATTTGTAAATAGATAAAATATTTGTTATTTTCTGCTTGAAATAAGAATTCTGACACATTTGTTGACTTTAGGTTGTGTTAATAGATTCTGATTATCCTGGTTTATCGTTATCCTTTCATTTAGAGAAAGTATCTTTAATAAATAAAAATAAGTGAAAATTCCTTTTAGTACTGTATACTTGGGCATTTTGAAGACGTTTTTCTTATATGAATGATAATATAAAATATTTTGATTTCTGGTTTATGGGTAATACATTTTTGTTTTATAAAATACTTTTATACAGATTTGTTACAAATATAAGACCAATTCCTGATCCAGAAATATTAGTATACATTCAGTAATATATCCTGCCACAATAAAAGCAAATTGGCTTCATAAGAATATATCAGCCAGGCTCAGTAGCTCAGCCTGTAATCCCACACCTTTGGGAGGCTGAGGTGAGTGGATTGCCTGAGCCCGCGGGTTCGAGACCCACCTGGGCAGCGTGACCTCATCTCTACAATAAATCAAAAAAAAAAAAAAAAATCCACTGGGTGTGGTAGTGCATGCCTGTAATTCCAGCTACGTGGAAGGCTGAGGTGGAAGGATCACCAGAGCCCAGCAGGTCGAGGCTGTGGTGGCCGGGAGTGGCCACTGCACTCTAGTCTGTGCGACAGAGTGAGACCCCAACTCAAAAAAAAAAAAAGAATATATCTCATTTCCGAAATCTCAGTGTATATTTGATAAATGAAAACAAAAATTTGTCAGATGCTTTGTCAGTGTTAAGATGACTTGATTGCTATTTAGACTTATCAAATCCTAAATGTGAGATTATTTTAGAATCTATCACAAAATATTTGATAATTTTCTCTCTTTGTTGTATGTATAGGGAATAGCATATAAGAAACTAATGTTATAGCTGTGGCTTTTATTGTAGAACAAGTTCTTCTGGATCAAAATTCTCAAACTCCTCCTCCAAGCCCTTTCTCAGTGCAAGCTTTTAATAAAGGGGCAAGTTGCAGTGCCCAAGGATTTGATTATGGACTTGGAAATAATAAAGGTAGGTATTTAAAAGTGAGTCTTTTACTTTCCTGACTGCAGTATTTTTTATTACCTTCTCTTTTACTCATTTTTACTCCTGTTCACCCAGAAGTCTTTACTATCTTAAAATTTGTTTCTAAAAAACTAATACTCAAAATATTTGCAACAGTCTTCTTTTCACAGTATAGCTTGTTTTTCTTTTTATCAGTTTTAGCTTAAGTTTATGGGAGTTCTTTATTATTTTTTCCGACGTTAAAAACATTCCTTTTGAATTCATAACCTAAAAGTTCTGTGTCAATATGTCTAGTAAAATAACTATTATTTTTATCATCCACTTGTTATTAGGAGAATAATATTAATGAGCAACAAAGAACTTTCTCAAGTGATCCATTTAAAATCAGACTATTATTTTTAAATAATATTCTAAAGTAATATTGCACATGAGCTTTATAAAATGTGTATGATTTTGAATTTCTAACCCAGTAATCTTGGGTAATTTAGAATTACAGGAAATGATATGTTTGGTTTTGGTATGTATAATTAAACCAAAGTGTTATAAAAAGAAAACAACCCTAAGCCTTGTGGATGTAAAATATATGCATCTGTTTTGGCTGCATTAATGGAAGAGAACAGCATCATGGACAAAAACAGTCTAAACAGTCGTTATTTTGGAATACTTTAAACTTGAAGTTAATCCAAAATTGAATTTTTATGTAAGGTCACACACTGTTGTTCTTTCCTTTGTACCTAATGCAGACTCCTTCAAAATCAGCCATGTTGTCAGCAGGGTGATGGGTAGGAAGGAGAAGGTAGCCTACATGAAAATAATCTTACTTTAAAACTTTTATATAAATTAACTTATAGGGCTTGATTCCAAGAGACGAATATAGTATCATTATACCTTACTTGAGGAACACATAAAAAAATGCAATAGTGAACAAAATACAGAATTATGTCAATGTATAATAAGATATATCCAGTTTAAAATACAACCACTTCCTATTAGATATCTTCATCTTTCCTCAAAATATTTTTATGAAGGAAATCTTGCCACAGTTGTTTTTTTTAAACTCCCTTGTGTTGGCCTGTCCCATGGACTTGGGTATTATATGCTCGCTTACTTTGCATATAGTTCTGATTTCTGTTAACTTAAGCTAGATCTTCATACTTATGTAGGGTAAATGCTTAGTGGTGTTTTCTTCACGTCCCTTTCTCTTTACCATTGTCAACTCTTCAATTAAAATCTCAGCATTTGCTTACCACTACTGTATTGTATCTCCATAGCAATGTTTTAAAGCCGTGTTTAACTCAAAATGTATGCTTTCAGTCTTTAAAATGTCTGTCATTGTACTGATAGCTATCACAATAGATCATTCTTTAAAATATGTATTAAACCATCATAAAAATAAGTCAATTTTAAGAGACACAAACATTGCTGAGAACATTTGTTTTTATTAGAATTAATAATTACTTTTTTTAAATGTGGTTTTGTGAATATTGTTTAAAAATAGCACACACTGCACTGTGCACAGTGGCATACTTCAATAGTCTCAGCTACTTGGGAGCCTGGGCAGAAGAATCACCTGAGCCCAGGAGTTCAAGGCTATAGTATCCTGGGATCGTGGCTATGAATGGCTACTTCTCTCCAGCCTGGGCAACATAACCATCTCTCTTTAAAAAACAAAGTAGCAGCTGGGCTCGGTGGCTCAGCCTGTAATCCCACGCCTTCGGGAGGCTGAGGTGAGTGGATTGCCTGAGCCCGCGGGTTCGAGACCTGCTTGGGCAGTGAGACCTCATCTCTACAATAAATCAAAAAATCAGCCGGGCGTGGTAGCGCATGCCTGTAATTCCGGCTACTTGGAAGGCTGAGGCGGAAGGATCGCCGGAGCCCAGCAGGTCGAGGCTGCGGTGGCCGGGAGCGGCCACTGCACTCCAGTCTGGGCGACAGAGTGAGACTTCAACTCAAAAAAACCAAAAAACGAAATAGCCTGTACTTGTTCATAAGCTTTTTAAATATATAGATGAAACAAAGAAAATTAACTTAGATCTCATTAAATATATTTCACTTTTATTTATTACCTATAACGGTAGTTTTCATTTTTTTCAACCCTTTATACTGTCTAGGATTAAATAATTGTGCCTTATATGATTTTTTTCCTTAATATAATACCTTATAAAAATTTTTATAGTTCCTAAAATCTTTTCTGTAGCCTATAGCATTTATTTTTTAAGTGTGTAGCTTGTGTACACCGTTCTTTCCATATAGATCTATCATTTGTTGGTGCTTCAGTTGAAATGATCATTTATGAAACTTTATTGCATTGAGGAAGTATGACTGGAAAGATAGTCTTTTCCAGTTTCTACATCAATTAGTTTGCATATGTTTTTTTCCCCCTCTTAAGCATCTAACTATTTAATATACATGTTCTTACAAAGAAGGAGTTATCATCCATCTAAGTATATTGTTCCATGTCTTTTAAAATATTTTTCTGTTAAAGTTCTTTGTATTTTAAGGAAAAATGTTTGAATTCCTATTTGAGATACTTCAAATCAGGTAGCTCGCAATTCTTTTAGTCTTATAGAACTTACAGATTTTTATATTACCTATCTAAGCAAGAGTTCATGCTTTTTAAAAACACTAGAATTTCTTTGGCAATAACAACTTTTAAAAAATAAGGTGACTATTCATGACTATAACGTGAACCTATTGCTATGTTAGCAAATACTTTGCCCCTTTAATTCTACATTTAAAATAAAAAAACTATTTATACTATTTGCTTATTTTCTGTGTTGAGTATATTGCAGATGAGGCAGAATGGTATTAGCCATTGCTGGGCACTGGAGAAAATATCTTTTACTTAGATCTTCATTTATGGATTTATGATATTGAAGCAACTTATCATAGATTCTTCACAGATTCTTTATTCTCCCATTAACAATGGGAGATAATACATATGAATTTAAATGGATTTATTTTTGTAGGTAGGCTATATATTAAATTTGGTGGGGTGCTTTTATTTAAGAAAAAAAAAAACAGCATGCAAAATTTGGTCCCTAATTTGGGATAATTAATATTTACCAGCTTTCATGCATTTCTGAATTGGCATGGTTTTATTTAGTGTTTAACTTTATCTGAATGTTATAAAGCACCATTTACATTGCCATTTTGAATATTAATGAATAACAAGTTGTAGTCTTGACTGTTTTGCCCACTGCAGGTGACCAACTGAGTGCCATATTGAATTCCATTCAGTCACGACCCAATCTCCCAGCTCCTTCCATCTTTGATCAAGCTGCAAAACCTCCCTCTTCCCTAGTCCACAGCCCATTTGTGTTCGGACAGCCCCTTTCCTTCCAGCAGCCTCAGCTTCAGAGTAAGTCTGTCAGCCTTACCTGCATCATCAAGCGTTTCTGAAGCTTTGTTCTGAGTTGTTTATTCGTTACTAATTAGTTTTCAACTCACCTGAATGGTTTTATTTAAGATGTTATCCCCTCCCACATTTTTGAAGTATTTAGGCTACTCTGAGCTAAGACATTCTGCAGCTAAGACATTTGCTTTAATCACACATTTTTTTAAGTGTAGTTTTAAAAATATGAGTATTAGGCTTTCTATTCTAATTCCAGTATAAACAAATATGTACTGTAAGACAGACTAAGGAAAACATTTTTTTATTTAAAATTTTCTTTTTAATATGCATGACTATGGTAAGCATCAGTTTCATGGCTTTACATTATGTTTTTGTTACTGGGAGATGCCCTAAAAGAATATACCCATTTCACTATCCAATGGGTAGAAGTGAATCTGTATTTATTTGTTTGGTTGATTTGTTTCTTCTATGTGAATTTGGTATCTGTGAAATGTATAGCAATTTAGATTTCCAAATTTTCTCAAATTGTTGTTTCCTTTCTTTTTATTTTGTTGTTCCTAATATATTAGACTGATCATTTGACTCCAATTCTGCCTTTAAGATTGCTCTAGCCCTTCATCCATGACAGTAACTCACATTGGTTTGGAAGAGAAACCCAAATAAATTACATTTAACTGAGTGTTCTTTTTAAAAAAAAAAATCTCCCAAGCTTTATGCATAAATTTCTCAAAGCTCTTTGCAATATGATAATTGTATTCTTCTTGGCATTCATTTCTCATGTTGGTTGTGTAGTATATAAATACACTAACAGCTGATGAAAGTCTCCAATTGTAAACCATTGTTTGGATTTGAGTGCACAACCTCTTTGCTTTGAGAAAGTGCATCCACACTCAGGTCTCAGTTGTTTTTCTACAAAAAATACTTGGTAACTGTCATTAGGGATACCTAAGAGAATGCTACTAGCTGGTTTAGTTTTTATTAAGAACCAAGTTAGTATATAGTTAGCACATTATATTATTCATTATTATTTTATTATCCTACTTTGATAAAGAGTATACACAGGAGTTTGTACTGTACACTAGGCAGGTGTAAATAATGAAATTAGTTTGGAAAAATAAATACTATCAATCTCTACCTTATCATCTCTATTCATGTGTAGTATTCATTTGAATATCTCTGAAGAGAAAATTTTCAAGGAAACAAAGTAGTGTCACGTGTGTGGAATAGTTTTTTCCCCACCATGATAATCATTATTTCAGAAGAATGAAAGATAAATAATTATTTAGTCTATTAATTTTGTGGAGCAACAGCCTTTTTACATCTATATATATGATCCTGGACAGATTTCAGAAAGTTTTAAAGATAAGGACAAGGGAGAAAACATAAAGGAAAAAAATCTCAGGTTTAGTCAGGCAGAAAATTCATACTAGAAAATTCTAACTTATTCACATTAAAATTCAGTCTTAAAAAGAGAAATTCCCTATGTCATAATAGCAGCAGACAGAAGAACTAAGGAGTAAAGATCTTTTTGTTCTACCTAACATGTCATTGCAGGTCTTCATCAAACAAGTGTAATTAGTAATTTTATTTTACCAAATTTAATTAATAAAATATTTGAAAACAAAGTATACAGACAGTATAAAATTTGTCTCTTTTAGGGGATAGCAAATTTCCAAGTGACATTATGTCAATATAATTGTATATGTGTTATAGATAAATGTTATCAGTAACACCATATCCTTTAATGCTACCCTGGTGCAAATTTGAAATTTTGACCTAGCTATGTCTCAGTTATCAGTTTTCTGAACCATTACTTACCTGTACATCAACAGTGGAGATAACTTAGATCTTTTTAAAAATCTCTTATTCTCAGCAGAATGTCACTGAAGTTTGATGTCCAAATTCCAGAAAATGGAAGTCTTCATCTTTAACATAACTAAAAGAAGTATGGAATCTAAACAGTAGTTATAAAATTTTGAAAATAATTCAGAACTATGTTTTTCTCATCATGTTAGAAAAGGTAAATGTGGCAGAGTAGCACATTTGTTGAGACTCCCTGAGTAAGATATTCTCCCTGAACTTCACTGCCATGCATTGCACTGGCATCTCGCCTTGCTTTGGAAGATGGCTTATTTATATAGAACTTCCCTGTGCTACTTAGCAAAATGAGCATCATTTGTGTTTTATACTTTTGTGATACTGAAACAAATCATTATGTAAAAGACCATGTTTACTAAATTTTGCTTATACTGATAGTCTGCAGAGTAGCACATTTGTTGAGACTCCCTAAGTAAGATATTCTCCCTGAACTTCACTGCCATGCATTGCACTGGCATCTCGCCTTGCTTTGGAAGATGGCTTATTCATATAGAACTTCCCTGTGCTACTTAGCAAAATGAGCATCATTTGTGTTTTATACTTTTGTGATACTGAAATAAATCATTATGTAGAAGACCATGTTTACTAAATTTTGCTTATACTGATAGTCACCACTATATACTAAACACTGTACTTATTAAGCATTTTAATACATCTTCATTTTTTTATGTAGCAAAGGTTTGAAAGGGGAAAAGAAAAGATTTTCTAAATGTCATAACAAGTTTCTACTTAACTAGACAGATTCTACAAAGACACACATAAACTGGCCCATATCATCTTTAACTTCATCTAGCATTTGTATGACCATTATTATCAATAATTCTTTAGAAGCTCTTTTCTGAAGCGTAGTTTTTTCACTAATCTTTGAAATGTAAAATAATCTGGCACATTAAATTAATCTGGTAAATTTTTTTTTTTAACAATCGAGTAACACTTTATTTCATAAAAATAGAATATAAGTATTCTCTAATTTGGTAATTTTAAAATTATCAAAATTATTTTATTTCATATACATACAAATTATTTTAACTGTTATTCTGGTGAAGTAGAATGTTACAGAAATAAAAGTTACAAGTTTTCTCTATACCGTGTGTGTACACACAGAGGCATGAAAAAGAGAAGTGTGTATATAGAATGTTTTTTAGTTTTATACTTTATTTTTTATTTCAAAATTATTTGTGTAGTTTTTAAAATTAGTAAACAATTTGGCAATAAGGTTCTAGTGGAATGAAATGGGGAATGATGTTTGTGACTGCTTGCTTTAAGAATATTACAATCCTTAGTATCATTATTGTTCCTCATTCCTTTTGAAAACATTATTTTATGTCCTCTAATGTCTAACAGTGTTTTAAACATCATGGGCATTCATGGAATATTTATTGACTAGATATTTAAGATGATCACTTCATCAATTTATGATATGTTTTTCGTTATCACATTCCAGTATTTACTCAGAATACATCTTCAAATAAGAAAAAGAATATTTCCTTCTCTTACTAATTAAATTCACAAAAAAGTAAAACTAACTATACTATGGTGATATGTAATAATTCTGGGTTTATACTGACTGAATTCCAAGTACGATTCCTTAACTGAAAAACTATATTCCAAATGACTTTAACATAGCATTTTTAAAAATTTACTTTTACCTACTGTTCAAGAGTCTAAACAGTTCACTTTTTTGGTAGAAAAATGGTACATACAACTTAAGATAATTTTCTAACCTCCCAAAGATTTTAAACAATTAATGTACAATATGTCAAAATATATAGTACTTTCAAGCACAGATAGAATAGCTCTTTGTTATCTTGCAACAAGAGTTTTTCTTTTGTATTCATATGTCACTTTCTTAAACAGGACAAAAAAATTGTTAAAAGTGTTCAGAAAGTCCATGTGGACAGCTTCATGAATGCTTATTTATGTCCGAGAACAATGACATAGTAAAGCATTGTGTTCACTTAGATTGTAGATATGTAATTGTGGAAAGACTTTCAGCTCAAATACCCTTGTCAGTCACTTACTAGCTCTTGTTAAGTTCCTTGAAACATCTGAATCCCTGTTAGCTCATCCATAAAATGGATGCCCAATAAATGTTATCTGTTTATATTTTTATTGTTTTTTGATGCAAGCACTTAATAGCTCTCACGGTCCAAGGAAAATGTGGAAGTAGCAGTTAACATGTAACCTTATTTTGAGCCGTTGAGTTGCTGGTACCTGTCTTCTTCTTTCTCCAAATATTGTATTAAAAATATCTTATCCTAAAATCACTTTTGTTGTTGGGTTAAGTTTTAACTCTCTTTGTGCTACATAAGCATTATGTTTTTCTCAGGATAACACTTAGGAAATGGTTATGGTTAATGTTAATCACTTGATCAAAGTGTCTGATTTCGCTGATGTATAATTGGTATTTTTCTCTTGCAACTAATAAGCAATTTGTGGAAAGCAGGATTTTTTATTTTTGAGAGTGTATCCAGCCAATTTCTTTCTCAAGTTATTGCTTGAAAAGCAATACCTATCTTTTATTGGAATTTTTAAAGTTATTCTTGCTAGTATACCATACTACATACCCATCAAATGATGCTCAGAATTTTTATTATCTCAGCATCACAAATATTGAAATGATATGGTTGCTAAATGTTATTTTCCTTGACCATATTTACTAGGAATTTAGTGTATATTCAGTAATATGCTTTGAATATATTTTATTCAAGTTCAGTTATAACTAGAAGTCATTACAGAAACATCCTATTTGTGGAGATAACCACTTTACGTGTTTTCTTCCACTGTTCTTTCTATATTCAGATCATATAGGTTAATGCCATAACTAATAAAAAGCTTGTTTCTATTTTGTCTTTAGGTAAAAATGTAATTCTTTCATTATTTTGTAATCCTTTTAGTATGCTAATATTTATGTAAATAAATATTAGTTCCTGTTCTATGTCTTAAGCCCTTTGCTATTCACATGATTCCACATTTCTCCTGATAAATTTACTACAAAGAAAAATACTAGATGCTTTGATCATGTAGTGATATTGCATCTAAAGCTGTCAATCCAGATAGCTGTCATAGCTAAGACTATATAATAATCATCACTGTCACCTTATTTTAAATCTTCTGGAATATTGATA